AACCAAATAAAACGTCACAGAAAGGGACTAACTTGAAAGGTTTCGTTATTGTTATTGTTTCTCATCCTCTAATTGTCTGACGAAGTCAGACAAAATCCAGTAGGTTGTTGACCCTCAAAGAGTCGAATACAAGAAGTGGAGAAGCATATAAATCCTCCTTGGAAAGGCCCAAGCAGTCAAGCATGTGTTCGGCTGAGGCCTGCTGGGCTTTTCATTTGGGGCAGACTGCATAAGTCTTTCTTCCTTCAAAGTACGAGAGACTATTCATGTGTCCACTTGACAGTCTGGAAATAGCTGTTTGAGATGCTCTATCACCTATGTGATGAAGTGAAGAGCCCGGTTTCTTGGCCGCATACCAATCGCCCTCCTTGGCCAAGCGATCCGCTTGCTCAGTTCCAAAGATGTCAACGTGGGATGGTATCCACTGAAGATGAACGTCGTGGTGCTTTGAAATAAGTTGAAGTTTAAGAAGGATGGAGATGCTTGTTTTGTCTCCAACTTTAGTTCAGTGGTATAGGTGTTGAAGGGAGCTGCGACTGTCTGACAGGATCCAAAGATCTCCAAAGTCACTCTCGTTGATTATAGCATCGATGCCCTGTTCGATCGCAATTAATTCACTTCGAAAGACTGAAGTGAAATCAGGATTACGGAGACAGATGGAGTAATTTTGCCCAGATTTTTCAATGAAGACGCCGCTACCAGCTAGGTTTCCCAGTCCACTACCGTCTGTAAATTTTTATGGCGTCACTGGGAATCTTACCTAAAATTTCCAAAGCTAGCTGCCTAAGTTCAGCTGGAATATGATCTTTCTTTGTGACCGGAGCAGAAAAGCCGAAGTGGAAATGGACTCGGGGGATTCCCTCTGAAGGATTCAGACAAGATTTTAAGGAGTGGGGCTTAACGTCTTCAGAAGGCAAATGCAGAAGTTCAGCATGACTAAATGGACTGTTTTTCTTCAGTCGCTGATTGTTGCGCCAGTTGTTAAGGTAAAGAGAGGTTCTATTGTGCTGACCAAAGCTAGAAAGTTTGTTGAAGTAATTGTTGAGATTAGCCTTTCTTCTAGTTTGGAGAGGTTGAAGATCAGCCTCAAAGAGGACTATTTCTTTAGAGTAATTATTCTTGTAGCTAGTATTCCAGTAATTATTCTTGCAGCACTTAGTTGGACCCTTTCCAAGTTAGTCCAGAAGCCAGGTTAGTGGCAGAAGCACAGGAGTACACAGGTAAGCCGTATTCCAGGATGGGTCTAATGAGAGACAAATAGCTATCTCTTAACGTGACAGCATCTGCTCCCCAATCTTTGCCCGCAATATATTTAAGAAGTTTAATCGTTTTCTGCATTTTGAAACAATATGTTTGTTGCTTGTCCATTCTGGGTCTGAGACGTATCCGAGATAAATTGGATGCTTTTCATAAGCAAGACTCTTGTTATCCATCTTTATATTTGACTGATAGTTGTACAATCTTTTGTTGGTGGTAAAGAAAGTGACGATGGATTTGGTAGGATTAAAACAAAGTTTGAACTCCAAAGCGTAATCTGAAAAAGCAGGTAATGCATTGTTGAGAATCCTTTTTATTCGACTAAATCATTTCCAGAGCTCCAGAGAACGATGTCGTCAGCAAACAATCCAACTTTTACCGCTTTAGGAGGTGTTTTCTCTATGCCTGCCAAGTAATAAGAGAAGAGCATAGGGCTCAGAACCGAACCCTGAGGAACGCCCTGTCCGAGCTCAACTGGGTCTGAGAAGGTGTTGTTAAAATTCACCCTGATAGATCTGTGGTGCAGGAAATCCGAGATCCACGCCAAGGTGTTGTGTAGTTTAATTAATAGCTTGTGCTTCCATACTTAGGACTTGAAAGGTATAACTCGTAGCCACCCCCAGGCAAACATCAAAAGGTTTTTTTTCTAGAACAAATTTGGGGATATTTCCGTATCGTGATCTGTGATGGCAACAAGATTCGCCAAGGCGCAACAGATCGCGATATGAAAATATCCTCTCATGCACCACTCCCCGGTTGTTACGAAAATTTGGTCTTTTTATGGCCACAGGTATCAATATGGAAATCTTTTCATCAGCATTGATCAGCCAATCCATGTTCAACTTAGGGATTTTAGTGCAACAGAGGACAATGCATTCTTTAACTGTTCTATGCATAAATTTAAATTTTGTTATTAATGTTAGATTAATTCCTACATCATTCACTTGTTAGAAAAATTTTGTTTATACATTATTAGAAAAAAATAGGTACAGAAATTTAGCAATACATTTAAAAATTGTAATGTATGTGAAATATATATAATCTTCTTCCTGATATAATTGTTTTAAAATTGTTTGGTGATTTTTTGAGGTCTTCAGTAACACAAATAATTGACTATTCTGTGCAGTATTACTATTAAGTAATTATTGTTTGAATATTTTAGGTAATGTTTTTAACTTCAGTGAAAAGTAGAGGTCTGTAGCTAAATATGGTTCATTTATTAATAATTTCATCTGAGACAATTTTTCTTTCCTTATGTAATTATAAAATATTTTCTACAGTTAAGCATATGTAATGAATTTTACAGAATTTTTGTATCTTGGATTATTCTTTTTATAAGCAACTGAATATTACTCTTATTTTGTAAATAATATTGACCTGTGTTAACGTAGTCGAGAGGTTAGAGTCCTCCAATGTAGAGTTGTGGAGAGACAAAGATACTGAGTTCAATTCTGAGAGCTCAAAGAAAATGTAAGAATCTATAAATGTAATATAAGATTTTATTTATAGATTTTTACATTTTCTTCGAGCTCAGAGGATGAACTCCGTATTCCTGTCTTTCCAGGACGACAATTGTAACCTCACAGCTACGCTGACGCATGTCGATATATCTAATATGATATTATCACAAAGAAAGAAACTAAAGATTATCAAGACATATAATATAAATAAAATATTGTCCTTTATATTTCAAGGTAAAGTCAATGTTGAAATTCAATGAAAATATTTTTTAATTTACTTTTTTGGCAAGCTAGAACTATCAACTGAGGGGGGGGGAAGCAGATATGCATAATATGCACAAACACTGTTCATGGATGATGTGCCACAATTGCGGAAATTGTTATGTTATTCTTTACATAAAACCAAAAAAATTCCCCTATTCTACTCATGAGTCAATCTGGCAGTGACTGATATTCTGGCAGGCTAACCATGGGAGGTTTAGGTGGTTTTCTTCTTCATGTAACGCAAATGCGGGTTAGTTCCTTCAAGAAAAGTCCTCGAAGGCGATTTTCTCCCAATACTTGATCCAGAACTTCCCTTGTCTTCTGGATTGGATTCAAAATTACAAGGCTACAGAGTTGAACATTAGTAAATCGTAAACCAAAAAAAATTGGGTCGTCTGTGCAATGACAGTCATAAAATAAAATAAATATAAATTCAAATTTACTAAAATATTGCAATATACTTATGTCATAAATAGTTTTAAAGCACTTCATAAATAAACAACAGGCAAATTTTTTTAAAGTTATGACAAGGGGCCCCTGACTGCTCTGTGCCTAGGGCTCTCACATGTCTAGATGAGGCCCTGGACATTGCCACACTGTCCTCTCGATCACATCATTGCATTTGAAACTTTAGAGAATAGAGCTGACAGCTGTTGGTTTTTCTTCTTTGCGGCATTAAGTAAGCTCACTCACCATTGTGCTTATTATTGTTTTGTTCACATCTATTTTACACACTCAACATAAGAGCATAGCTGCCAACTGCTCCTATGAAATCGTATTTGTTCCGAATTTTCAGCTTTGTTCCAAAAATACGATTTTAGATCAAAATGTTCCGATTTTTCAATATTATAGCACCTTTTCAATTCTCATGCCAATTTTCTTTCAACCCAAGAAAGCTCTAATAACCTGGAAGCAGATCATGTGATTTTTTTGCGAATTTCGCAGATTTCCGCATATCTCAAGACCATTGGTTAGCGAATTCCTGTGAATCAAAAATTTATAATCCGATGAAATTTTGAAACTCTACCTAAATCACGCTAACGAGACATTTATGATTCTTATGCCAATTTGATTCCTTTGATTTAGTTGCTTTTCACCATTTTAAATATTAGGAACTCCGTCAGAATCTGCTAATATCAGAATACTTATTCACACGATTTTAATATCAATCATCGATTTGGTATTTAGCTGATTTAAAATTTACGCGATTTAAAAATTCAATATCGCAATTTGTATTTTCTTGTTTCTAAAATCCAATATAGTGATAACTATTCGCGCGATTTTTAGAATCCAATATCGCTATTCTTCTGAGAAGTTTTTTTTTCAATTAGTTACTATAAAGTTGTGATATTCTTCATTAATAAGTTATTCAATTAAAACTGTTAACTGATGTTATATGAAACCTGTATGGTTTATAAATTGATGTTTTGCTACTGATATTATGATTTTTGATAATCTGTCTTACTCTTTGTGTCATTATTTCCCCTGATNAATTAGTTACTATAAAGTTGTGATATTCTTCATTAATAAGTTATTTGATTAAAACTGTTAACTCAAAAATGATGTTATATGAAATGTGTGTGGTTTATAAATTGATGTTTTGCTACTGATATTATGATTTTTGATAATCTGTCTTACTCTTTGTGTCATTATTTCCCCTGATTGGCTTATCATGCTTTGAGTTCCTATTTTTGTTTTTAACAAGTTGGCAGCTATATAAGAATGTTATGAAAATGAAATCTTTTAAGAAAATCCAGTGCAAATTTTTTAACACATTTTATCTGAATTAGTTGGTAACAAAAAGATGGAATCTAGTTACAAGATTCAGTAAATTACTTACAAAAAGTTTTAATGAAAATTTAATGTTTTCAGAAAATTTTTCATTTTATCTAAGTCAGAAGAAAGGTTTAATTGCAGCTTTCTTAGTTCCGGAAATTAATAATTATTTTTCTACAATATAGTTTTAATATTGTGTCAATTTTATTGCCTTCTCATTATTAGTTTTCCTTTTTATTGCAGGAAAATGTTATTGCGATCAGCTTTTAAGAATGCTATCAGATAATGGTACTTTAAAGAGTGAACATTTGCAGTTTGTTATTAATAAGTATACTCGGGAAATAGATATGCAATATCTTAAAAATTGCAATTTTTGTGCCATTGAAGAAAGACTAGAAGCTGTTGGCAGTGTAAGTAAATATTTTTGATGTATGCAATGGATTTTTTTTTTATCTTTTGCCAGAAATCGAAAAGTACTGTGTAAGTCTTTTTTCTTTTACTGGGGTTGAGTTTTTTTCCAAAAGAAACTTATTTTTCCAGGACCCTAGAAGAAATCCTGACAAAACAGGAGAAACTAAGAATGACCTTTAGCAATATTATAAGAATAGTTTACATTTTTGGATTTCTATTTTCAGCTTTTTTGTTTTTACCAAACTCATACCTGTGAAACAAATTAATATAGTTCTATATAAATAAAACATTTTAAAGAAAATCTATGATTTTCAAACAAATTTCGCCGAAATGAGGTGGCGACAAAGGGTTGAAACTAGTTACAAAAGTTAATTAATTCCTTGCAGAAAGTTTTTTAATTGAAAATTTGTTTGTTTGCATTATGGAAAAAGTTTGCCACTAGTCTTGTTACTATCTTTCCCAATTTCTTATAAAATTTAATACAATGTGAGCATACATTAAAAAGAGACATTTATTTTAAATTAGAATGCAACAATTGCAAAGTATGAATTTTACTCTGATCAATTTACTGAGATTAAAGATAAGGACTGCATATTTGCATTGTGTAACTTTGGCTCAGAGAAGCTTCTCTATGACCACCTATGGTAAAATAGACTTCATAATAGATCACTTTTGTTTTTGTTAAAATATTAAAGACACTGATATTTTTATACTATTTGATGATAAAAGCGTATAATAAATCAATAATTTAGTCAATAAAATCAAAATGATTTATAATTTTTCATTAAAATAAATATAAATTTTCATGATCAACATTGTGTAGACTGATACTAAATGAACCAATCAAACTGAAAAGTAAGATTAATTATGGGTCCCACTTCGATTTTCTATTCATATTTCTTCTTTATAAAAAAGACTTCAATAGTTGACCTGCTTAAAAATGTGTTAATATCCACATTTTTATAAGCAATATCATTCCGCATTGTAGTGAAAAGAAAATTATAAAGTACAATTGACTAGGCAAAATTGGAACCTTTTTTCACACGAATTACTAAGTGGGGTCTATTTTAGATCCCACCTGAAAACAAAGCTATAAATTTTGAAAATTGTTTAGACTGTTATGATATTTCTTGGAATAATAACAGATATAACGCATAGTAAGAATCAGACCCTTATTATATGCACAATACCTGTTCTTGTTAAATTTGTCGTTTATATCAATTGCTGCGTTTTGTATTCACTCAATTTAAAAGCCGCTATTGTAATTCGTGTTCAAGTGACTTAAAAATTATACATTGGAATTCGTATTCTTTCAATTTTGAAATGAGATTGAGATTTATAATCACATGATTTTTAAATCAAGCATTGAGATTCGTATTAACACCATTTTAAAATTAAACATAAAGATTGGTATTTGTGCGATTTAAAAATCACATATTGCGATTCATATTCACGCATTGATGACAAATAAATAGAATCTCACATAGTTGTTTTTATCAAAACTTTAATAACATTCTGTCTTAGATGCTTTCTGCATAAAAAATTTTTTTTGCTTAAATTTAATGAATTTCTTCAATTATTTAAAAAAAAACGTTTTTACACATGAACATTTTTGGATTTTCCTTTTCAGCTTTTTTTGGGTTTTTTCCAAACTCTGGAGTATAAACCAATAAAAATTTCTATAAAAATTAAACATTTTTAAAAAATCCATGATTTTCAAACGAATTTACCAAAATGAGATGGCAACAATAGGGTTTAAACTAATTACCAGAGTTAATCAATGAATACAGAAAGTTTTTTAATTGAGATTTTGTGTTCACAGAGAGTTTTTCATTTTATCTAAGTCTGGTAGAAATATCAGCTCTTAAAAAAAGAAAAGTAAAGCTTTTTATTGAAATATCAATAGAAAACTGAAAGGAAGTTTATTAGCCCTAATTCAGTGTTTCACCATGTACTTTTTTCCCCACAAACAAATGCATGATATAAATAACTACCATATATATCTGTTTATAAGTTGACTTTTTAAACTCCCATAATATTCATTGAACATGAAATTTTGATGCATTTCATCCAGAGCAGGATTATACCTTTCATAGGCCCTAGGCATAGCCGTTTTTGGGCCCTCCCCTCCTTCCCCCACTCCTCCCCTCTTTTCAAAATATATGCTAAAATTTTCTTGCATATTTTATTTTACATTTTTATTAATATGGATTTTAATTTACAAATTTGTTTATCGAACTTCATCTGCAATACCGACATACTGCCGATATTGCAGTTAATATCGATAATATGTACCATTGTGATTAGTTCGATCGATAACTATGTAAACACTTCACGTCAACAATACAACAACAAACCAGCAAAGAAAACAGTGAAATTGATAGTGAGATTAATTACAAGAAATATTTATACTGCAAATAGCTTCATAGTTTTCATTATACTACTAACTAAGTGAAGGAAATTAACATTGCCAAAAGTAAATCTTTTGAAATTATTCATAAATAAATTTGCAAGGTAGGTTAAATGTTTACTAGTGAAAAAAAAAAATGATTTAATACTATTTTAATAAAATGTTAGTCACGTTTTTTCAAATGAGACATTTTAGCAATTGACCAATGTTTTTTATATATATTTTTCAGGATCACAAATTATAGTCAACAATTGGATTTGCATTCATTGTTTGGTGATATTAAATCTAAAATGGCTGACGGTTATTTAAGAAAACATGAGTCTGGTCACCTAAAAAGAAAAAGAGAAAAGTTTTAAAAAAATGGAAGGATCGATCATAAGATTCTGCAAAATAATTTATTGCCGAAAAATATTATATTTTTATTTGTATCTTCATAATTTTGTGCAAAATACACTTGTTGTTTTTAAAGCTAAATTATTTTTGTCAAAAAAAATTTTTCTCCCAAGTTTTTCGTAGGCCTCTGAATTTTGTAGGCCCTAGGCACGTGCGTAGTGTGCCTATAGGTTAATCCAGCCCTGATTTTATCCAATGAGATAAATATGAATAACTCTGTATCCATTAACTCCTTTCAAAAAATCTTTTTAATATGTTATATGCAATTAATTTTGCCTTTTCTTTCATCATTTTCATCACACTTTAAACTACATAAATTAAGCTGAAATGAATTAAGAATTATATAATTCAAGATAATTTAGTTAAGAGTATTTCAAAATGTTTAACTGAAAAAAAACTTTTAAAACATACCGTAAAGCTGCAATTTTAAAGATTCCAGAATATCATCTGTGTCGCATTCACTAAAGATATGGATGTTATTTGAGGACGAATGTATGATACCTAGAAAAAAGATTGACTTAAAAATTTTTTGTATTTTCAATATTTTAGTAATTTTTTTTTTAATTAAAATTTTTTTTATATTTGTTTTCTTGAGCTGTCGTCATATATACATAGTTAGATAATATCGACGCATTGGCGCTGTCTGTCCATGGATGCGTAGGTGGTGATTCTCCAATTTTGCAGATACTTTTTTAATATTTATTGTAATATCAAAAGGTATACGCATGCGCAAAAAAATTAGTTTGAAGTGGGGGGGGGATATGAAGCAGACAATGTAATCGTAATTTATCCAAGGTAGAAGAAAGTCAGTGTTTAATTGTATGCCTGCTCCCAAAGATGAAAGATATAACTGCCACTTTAGCCCAAAGATTAGCCAAAACCTACAATCAGCTCATTTTTTAAAACTTAGCTCAATGCGACTATCACTTTACATCGAAAATAGATGATTGCAGTGATAGCAGGAAATCTTTTAATGTAATTTCATTTTGAGCAAAATTACTAATATTACTCAATATGATAATTACTTTATATGAATGTAGTTCTATGCATAACTATTAATATTTCTCTAATGTTCTTAAAGTTAATGTGCCTGTATATAGATATTTTTTTTGTGAAGAATAAATAAAAATATTAAATAGTTAATTGTTTTCGTATATTTAATAAAATCATTCTATTATCAAAAATATTATAAGCTTGCAGATGCTTTTGGATTGTGTGCACAGATACTTTGTTTTTTTCTTACTATGCTTATATACCCGACATACCAGAAATTTGCTATCTCTTAATCACCACCATATTTTTTTGAAGATAACATTTTTAATTATTAATTTTCATCTCTCTCTTTTTATTTTTATGGGTGTATGCATTACAGGGAAAAAACTGTTTAAACATCATGAAAATTTATCATACTTTTAATGAAACATTAATGCATGGTGAAACATTAACCCAATTGACGTGAATATATATCCCACTCAATTATTTAAAATCTCAAATAGTCGTCGGTAATATTTCAGACTAATGAAAAAATTCGTTTACTGTCATTGAATTAAGTTTTAGCAAAGTTCATAACAAATAAAAAAACTTAAAAATATATTAATGCTTTTAAAGATATTAAGCAGTTGGAAAAAAAAATTTTTTTTAATGCAAGTGAAATTTTGTAAACTATTATATTTATGCATTATAATTTTGTCCCCTCAAAATTGGCTTGAGGCAATTTGCTTCTGTTTCTTTTCCTTTTTTTAAAAAAATTAATTATTACATTATCTTTTTAAGTTTCGATGTAAAGCCTGGGTCTGTCCTAACTTCATAAGGTCTTTTAAGTTGTAATTTTTACACTAAAAATAAATGTTAAATGATGATGTAGACGAATATTGTTTATGGTTATTAAGTGTGGTTCATATATCATAATAATGGGTATCATATTAATCACGATAGATTGAAAATATAAATAAATTATTAGCAATAATTTATTTTATTTAATTCAATTTATTTTCTTTGATTGACATTTCCTTTGTACAGCTGTACAATAGTTTGTGATAGTACTGAAAAGAAACATTTTTTAACTATAATAATAATAAAGAATTTAATATCATTAACAGAACATGGTTACTTGTTTGGAGCAGTGAACCCAAAATTTTCCTATAGGTACAGACCCCTGTAAAATGTTCTCAGTCTGTATCCGTGAACCCCTGGTCTATGATATTCAGCTTGATTGACCTGCTCTTAGAAAAGTTCACACTCTGGATTGAATTATGAGATTGGTCAAGCAATTACATATATACCACTTACATATATACCAGCAATTACATATATACCAAGTTTACTAATGCTTATAGTCAGAGAACCTACAATGTACCAGCAAATAAAAAGCCCAAGAAAACAAGTCTGAAATAAACGGGGATCAATGTCACAATTCAGAGGACATGAGTTGTAAATCTCGGGAATGTTTTCAGAAAAGAGATTATTTTTTTAAAAAATCCATCCAAATAATAATTGCATGCAACTTATATAATTTAAAACATACCTAAAGTTTACTACTACATATTTATATTGTACCTCATCTCAATATCTTCTGTAAGTGAGATAAGACAAAAAGGAATTTTTAGGCAAGTTATGTAATAAATACCGTAGAAGCAATCTGAAATTGAAGAATGAATCTTATTTAATTGTCAAGTTGGGGAGTATAGATTTCTATACTGAAATTTATGCACCACATTTCTATACTGAAATTTTTATTGAAACAATTGTTGTAGCTGTATAAGATCTGCGAATTGCAATTTGGCTAGCACTAAACTGTATGTGTTGAATTTTTTTTTTGCTGAATCAATGTTGAGGATGGAATTTATGTGTCGCTGAAGCACGAGAAAGATTATCCTTCATTTGATTAACGCTTGTTAGCGTAACCACTATTTTTGGTTAAAAACAATAGAGAAGCTTGTTTAAAGAAAAAATATTGGTATCAACGCCAATAAAAAATGTCTCTTTAAAAATGTCTGTAATGTAAAAGAAAGAGTTGGTGCAGGTAGATTGAAGTACATCAAATATGTTGATACATCCGAAATTAAAACAGGAGCAGTCAATTTGTGGAGGAAAATTCACTGTTCAGGATGTCATTGGTGGATTATGTTATTATGATTCTAATACAAAAATAATAATAATAAACACATATAAAAATGCGTTGAAAATAAAACGATTTGTAGTTGATAAAACAGTATTCTAATTAGAATAGACTTTATTTTCTTGAACTCTGTTGTGGTAGAAGATGTTTATAAAAACAAAAAATTGCGAAGACAGTTTGGAATAACTGAAGAAATATGCAACAAAGGAAAAGGACTCCATAGTACACATCCTTATTATTTAAAAATTAAATTACAAGTGGTAAATTTTAGGTGCTAATAAATTTCGTTGAATTCTCATAAAATTCACATCCTTGATTTAGAAAGTAATTTATTGCCAATACCCTTTTTGAACCTTACGCCTTCAAGTATGTTATTGGAGTAGAAGTTATGAAAACATATTACTGAAAAAAGACTTTTTTCTCATTGGTTTATCGTTAAAATCATTGTCAAATTAAACTGCAGACATTTCTTTCTTTCTTTTTTTCCCTTCTATATTCAAGGACACTAAATGAAATTAACGACAGCTCTATTTAATCAATAAAGGAGTTTTTTTTCCACAATCTTTAATATTTAATTATTTTTATCTGTTAGTATCTCAGTGAGCAAGGTGAATGGCATGTGAGGGCTAATTTGTGTTTATGTTTATATAAAGTTAACATGTTTCTATGAAATTAAATAATTAGAAAACAATGTTAATTGAAATAAAAAAAAAAGTTTTTGCTTCCAAAAAGCAAAATTAATGGAGAAATGATTGTTTAGGTGAAACGTGAAAATTGGTTATACTATTATTGACGCGAACGAGTCTTAAATAATTTTCGTAATAGATTGGTATTATGGTAATTGATGCAGTTTTAATAGATGCCAATTATACTATTATAGGCACGAAGATGCCTACATATTAGCATATTTGATATTTACTGAAACTGCATCATTACCATGTAGTTTTAATATAGATACTGTGGAAATAGGGTTTTTACGGCCCCTCGAAAGGGATGAGTACCGCAGAAAATTGATTGATTGTTATCAGTTTTGAATATCATGTGTTGGCCTTGAGCAACAACATCGTGCCATATATTAAATACAGTTATTTATTGGTGAGATGAACTATTAAATACGTTTATTGCTTAATTTAATAACATAAAGCCATTGGGAAAGCTACAAATAATAATAAATTAAATATGAGTAAGAATTATTTTCACTTTATTTATTGTATCTGTATATGTCTTTCACTTTTGTGCATAATTTCGTAGTATTGATCAATGCTAAAGTAATTAATAATGAATTAAAATCAGAAAGTATTTCTACTTGCTGTTTACTATAGCGTTTGTAATTATATTATTAAATCAAATGATAATAGCTCAATTCTCAAAATATGAGAGCACAACACCGATCTGAATCTTAGACTCTGAGAGTAAATTTAATTCGCAGTAAAAATTTTAGAGTAATTTTATAATTCTATCTAGAGATAATAATTGACACAAGATGTTGTAAAATGTTTCTATAAATGCTTTAAAAAAAATTTTTTTTCAATCGAACGGGCTAGTTTTGGACATTCATGGTGTTAACTGAGCTAATGTACCAAACCAACATACACAAAAAATAAATAAATAGTATCTAGATATTAAAAGTATAAAGTTTAAATACAACAGTAACTTGATAATATTCTTCATACACAGCAGCAATAGATAAGTTATAGTTTATTGTGGGAAATATTTTTAGAAAAAAGCAAAATGTTATATAGGATTGTTCAAAAAACGTTACGTCCGCAACTCTGATTGTTTATCCAATAAATTTATTGTTGTAGATAATCTGACGTTGATGAAAACGGTTATCTTAGTGCTCTTTAAATGCAAAAGCTATAAATATTTAGTGCCTATGACATAAATCAATAGATTTCAGAATTAGATGCTATTTTTCTAAAAATGCCCAATATCATTAGCCATGTAAAGCTAAAATAAAGAAAAAAATATGTATAGGTTTTTTTTAATAACTACTGCTGAGTTACGATACGAATGATTAGCCAATAATGGTAAATTAATTTTTGTTTTTCTGATTTTCTCCACAGTCGAGTGTTTCTAATTAAGATTGAAAGATCTAGAAATTCGTAAAATTTTCTGTTTGGCTTTGCATATTATTCCATTTTGAAGTTCAGTTATTTTTATTTCTGATGTTTCGAAATTTTTTTAAAATTTATTTAGCTACTTGTCCTGATAGATACTTAAGATAAACTCTGATAAATAATTAAGATAATTATCTTAATACAAGATTATAATTGTTTTTTCAGGTCATAACAAAGTTTTCTATGGCTGGGATAAAGAAATTCTATAACAGTGACAGTTTCCTTAGACACCTCCAAAACATACAAGTTTTGCAACTCTCAGAAACAAATTGTACCAACAGATCAGTTGAGATAATAGCTGACAATTGTTCCCAGTTGAAGAGCTTAGATCTTTCAGGCTGCGTAAAAGTCACCGATGCAGGACTCATTCTTCTGTGTGGGAAAAGTCCTCCCCTGGAATGCTTAAATGTTGAATACACATCTGTTACCTACAAGAGTGTGGCTTTAGTTCTGAAAAATATTCCAACCTTAACAAAGTTATCGTTTGACAATGTTCCCAGAGCCATATTCGAAGCTATCGGGTGGCACGATTTTTCTGAAGTGAATGATAATCAAATATTTAATTTAAACAATATAGTTATTTTAAACAATCCAATGAGACCCGAAAACCACCTGACTGCCATATTGAAAGGATGTATAAAGGTGTGTCCATTTATCAAAGACTTGATAGTTAGTGAGCTTATAAACGAAGAACAGTTGGATCTATGTTCTCAGTTTGAAAATGTAGTTGCTGTTCATTTACAATGTAGTACTATTGTAAATCCAAAACTGTGCATCAATAATTTCCTCCAGTTGCGAGGAGATAAATTAACTAGCTTGCTGCTCACTTCCTTCTCCGTGTCTATTGAGATGCTCGCCAATTATTGTCCCAACTTGGAAGAGTTAACATTACAGTATCCTGCTTTCCAACAAACGACGCATAGAAACATAATTTTTCCTCATTTAAAAACGTTCTGTTTGCAACATGTAGTATTAGAATTAGAAGAAAACCAACTCCCTTCTTCTTGCATTATATCCTCGAGTCCTAACTTAAGGGAACTGCATATTTCGTTCTGTGTTTTCTCAGATGAAATGCAGGACGTCGTGCTCCATTGTCCTAAGCAGTTAAAAATTTTAAATTTTAGCAACACTGTTGTGAGTCCCCAGTTTATACAAGACATTTTAGAGGAGCACACTGATTTGTCAGCTCTAGTCATCGGTAATTCGGGTATCTCTATGGCAGATTATGATGACATCATGGACCTTGTTGATGAAAGAGAAAGTAAAGTGCAAGTGGTTTGGGCAGATTATTCAGAAGCAATCAGGGAATTATTCTATGATGTTACTCATAATGTACATAAGAGATGTATTTTGAAACTGTAAATCAAAGATATAATGTAAAAAATAAAGTTATATATTTTTTGATGTTTAATAAAGAGTTTAAAAAAAAAAATTGGTTTTTTTCTTTTTTCCTTTAAGAAAAATACGATTTGGTAACACGTGTATGTTACAGCTACCACACAATCTTAAAACTGATTAACTGTTCACTAATTAAGCTTTGTGAAGAAAAATTTCACAAAATACACTTATAATGGTCAGAAGATGGCTCTTGGCATTTCCGGCAAAATTAAATTCCTAGTGCACTTTAGCATCCAAATAGAGTCTCGGTGCTGCCATCTAGTGTGGCAGAAACTAGACGTCCAAATTAATATGAGCAACGGTATCTCGTCTATTGTGGTGGTCCTGAAAAAGTGGATACCACCTCTGGAGAACGAAATTGGAAATAAAAAGTATGGTCATAAGAGAATTGAATTAACATACTTTCTAATTATCTAGGTTTGTAAAATGATGCCTAATTACATTATTTTTATCATCAAATACATTGTTTATTCATAGATATATTGATCAATATTTTCCCCTCTGGTGATTCGCCAAATATCGCATCAATAATGAAGTAAAACTTAGATTCCATCGAGTTTAAGACTCCGAATTTTTGTGACCAACAGCATAATAGCGGCAAAGCGGTCAGTTTCCTAAACAAGCTGGTATCCTTCAATCATTGTTCGGTGGGCTTCAAGTCGCCACCGGGAATCGAACTCCGATTCTTCCTTAAGACATTTCAGTGCCTTAACTACTGTAACATCGCTGATCAGTCTATGATTGTGAAGACACTTAAACAGGTATAGATTTTATTTTCTCTCCTTTCATGGTACAAATATTATATAAGCTTTAAAAACAATTCGTTGCAATATAGTTTTCAGTTCGCCTCTTTAAAGATTAATTTCTTAAATTTTTACTCTTTAAATATAGTTTTAAACGTTTTCTACCTCTTGACTTCAAATAATTTAAATAGCTCACTAATATTTCTGATTTTTAACTTGAGTTAAATTTTAAGTGGTCCAGAAAAATAATTTTGTTTTATAATTGGCGTTGACCAGACTCTCCATGCCGGATTTGCGGCTATTAATGTACAACCCTGTATTACTAGGTACTTATTCTTCATGTTATGTATTATTTTGCCATTAACGTTTTGAATTGTGTAATTAGTATTTAAAAAAAATACTTATTTATTATTTATACGATGATTAAAAATTCATAGCTTAACTTCAGTACGAGATTTAAATATCAGGAATCTAGTATCCTTAACTAAACTATAAATAAGCATGTATTCGAAAAAAGAATCTATGGTGTAGCTAGCGTAAAGTGACCACATTTTTATTGAGACAAAGCGGGACAAATGGGATGAAATGAGAATTACAATTTTGTCAAACTTTCAACACGCACAATATAGATATAAAAATACGAATAAATGTTTGAAAAATATATTGGAAGTAAGTCAGATGCTGTTTGAATAGTATAGGTACAGAATGTGCGCTGCACAACCTACTCCAATATTTTTTTGCTTCAAATGTTCGTTAAGTTTCGTAAAAACGTTATTGATGCCTCTTCTAGCTTTTCCACCAAAATTTACGTTAGTGTTATCAGCACAATGGGCAATAATTTTATTGTTTAAATTATTCTTTTTTAAAATAGTACTTATTAAATTAAAAATTATTTGTGAAGTTTCATCAGGCAATGAAACAAAATCTAATATTCTAATTTTAATTCCTGTTTCTGGATCACAAAAATCTAACACCTGTGGGAAATAATTTTAAATCTTTGTGGTTGGAAGCATCAGAATATATGGATATAAATGCGCATTTTTCTAATTCTTTCTGCAATCGTGAAAACGAATATGGTGAAAAAACATTACAAATAATTGCTTCGGTTTTTGTCCTTGCACATGCATATTTTTTGTCGCAGAATGTTTTGATCACTTGCGACGTACAATCCATTGATCTGAATCTCTGATTGTGGTTTATAGTGCGGAAAGCAAATAGCCCTTCCGCTAATGCTAGCTGTTTTTCCGTGTTGCTAAAGCTAGCACTGCGAAAAAACTGTTCCATTTTAGAGGAGGAAGCGGCATTATTAAAAAATCTTTTGTGCCTCTTTGTCGCTAGATGTTTAGTAATATCGTTTTTACCACCATGTGAGACCGAAAATTCAGCATTGCGTTTATCACACCGTACCATATAGTCTATTTTGGTACTTTTAGTAAATGGAAATTCTCTGCTTAGCTCTTCATTAAATTTGCATCCACTTTTTTTACTCATCTTTTATTTTGTGAGTAAATACTAGAAATAAATAAAAAAATTATTACAAAGGCTAAAAAAGAGTATTAAATTTTACCTTATTGACCGTTACTTTGTGGCGATTATTGCTCAACCTTTGTCAATCAAATAATGAGTCAAACCGAACGTCAAATTGAAAACAACAAACCGCACAGTCTAACGGGCATTTTATGCATTTTTTATTTCTTTATATTCACCATAATACTTAATAAATAATAGGAATATATTTTTACAGTACATTTAAAATAAGAAATGCAGATATTTTCTAAAAAGCGGGACATTTTTAAAAATCGGCGGAACGCGGGACAGTCCACCAAAAAGCGGGACTGTCCCGCCAAAATCGGGACGTGTGGTCACTTTAAGCTAGCGGGAGGCAAGAGAGGACATCTGTCCCGACGAAATCTTGCAAAGATGCCATGTTCATTAAAAAATAATTAAAAAATCAATAACGTATTAAAATGCTTTTCTAAATTAAATATTCCCGGTTTCATTTGGTAATTACGAGAAAAATTCCTCATTAAAATCAATAAACGAAATAAAAAAAACATCTTTATGCATAGGAACTGTGTTATTTGACTAAAAACTTCATTCTCTCCAAAAATATGTTAATAAAAAATAACAGTCGACTTGTTTCAAGCTCTCAAAAGCAGGGACCCATTTTCAAGACTTGCCAAACGTAAATGAGAAAAAATAAAAGTGATTTGAAATATAAACGTAAAGTTGCCAAACGAAAAATGGAAGCATATAGATGAGAAACTATACTCAGAAAGAAAACGTTTTGAGCTCTTGAAACAAGTCTACTGTTATTTCCTACTTATATATTTCTGAAGCGAATGAAGTTATTAAAGTAACATCTTACTACTTCATTTTCTCGGGACTATTTATTTAAGAAACTACATTAGTAACATACCGTGTTAAATTTTAAACCGAATCTAGTAAATATGTATGAAGTTACCGAGTAACGTTGTCTTTAAAAGCATGTTAAGTAGCAAAACCGTGTTCAATGTAAAATTTAATAGAACAACAGTAAGTAAAACTTAAAATGGTTCCGAAAAGATCTCTTTTGAGTTCTACATTTTATCGCAAAGGGGCACAGAAGCTGAGTTTGGGAATTGGCGCTGTAAATCCTAGCTACTTCTGTGGAAAGAACCCTTATGAAAAAATCGAGGTATAAATGAGGTATAAANGATCGGATTTCGTGTAATCTAGATTACTGGCAATCCAGATTATCTACAGCTAGTGGAAACAGGGTTTTAAGTTTGTTCCGAAGCTAAATCCTGCTGGAAGGTCTATTTTTAGTTTCCAAAGAACTTTTGTAATCAAGGAAATATAATCTCATCCAAAGCGAGTTTCCAATACACGATAAAAATGTAACTTTGTCTTGAGACCTGTAAAAAAGAAACGTTTTTTTTTTTTTTTTTTTGAATTTCGATTAGGCGTTATGTTTCTAGAACAGATTCGGTGACTTAAAAGACATCAGATAAGAAAAAAAAATAATAATAACTTTTTTTTTTCAGTTTAATCTCATATTGCTTTCCTCAACTATATAAATCGCACTCTTTTTCCTGAAAGTATTGTTGTTATTATTTGAAATGCTTTTTAGTGAGCATCATGTAAAAATTTTGTGAATACATTTTGATGTTGCAATAACAGGTATGTATGCATAAAATATGTCGTTATGAAAACATGGTAGAGTAATTTCATTAGAAAAAAAAGTTATTCGAGATAATTATTTTTTAATTCTATTATTACGTATTTAAAATCCTTTATAGATAGAAATTTTTTCAAAACTATATTTCATTTTCATTTTTTCTATTCCAGTAGCATTTGTACACATGAGGAAAACAGTAAGTAGTTTAGAACAGAAATTCCGTTTTATTTATACTGAAGTTTAAAATCTTATCAAAGCAGACATTATTTTTAAATTTAATAGCACCTACATATGTTTTATAATGATTACTGCTTTTCTTATGCGTCATCTTTTTCTTCGACTTACCTAAATCACTTAGTTCGTCTTTTTGACAATTCTTTTTACAACGGCACCAATTAATTTGCAATAGTGGAATTAAATTGATGTTGTACATATTAGATGCTTGAAAAGTTACATCTCTATTATACCCGACTTTGCCCCTAATTATTATTGTTAGTGCTTAAAAAAGTACGAAATTTCTCGTTTAGTTGTTAAATTTGGGTTGAACAATGAAAGGGTACATTTTTTACTGTTTCGGTTTTTTCAAACATACGTTTAGGATCTGTGTCTAGAATAATAAGTGCACCAAAGATATGTGTTGCTAGACTCTGTTAGTTTTCTCTTTTAACCCTTTGGATCCGATTAATTTAAACTCCGAACTAAGAGGAAACAACCAGTAAGTTTTTTTATTAGAAAAGTTTTTTTTTTTGTTAAATAGTTACCAAATGTAACCTGATAACTTCAACAATATAAGAGATGGTAGCTATGAATGCGTTATTTTTTTTTTTTTTCTGAAATAGAATGACAGCAAAATATTTTAGTCACCACTTTTTATTTATTGGCCATAAATGAATGACGAGTCTCACTCGTCAAACGTACCCAAAGGGTTAATTGGAAAGAATTTTCAATCTTCTTCGCTTATACACAGTAAACAAATTCGTAAAAAATTAAAAAAAAATTCTTTAACGTAATTACCATTTTTATTCTTTACTAACAACATCATTTCATACACAATGATTTCTTCAATCAAAAACTATTGTTTTTGTTTTTACAGGGTTTGACAAAGTTTTCAATGACTGGCGTACGGACGTTTCCCGACAGTGACAACTTCTTTCTGTATCTCGAAAACATACAAGTTCTGCAATTGTCAGACACTAATTGTTCAGACAGATCACTTGATATAATATCCGATAATTGTTCCCAGTTGAAGAGTTTAAATGTTTCCGGGTGCATAAAGGTCACTGACGCAGGACTCACTCTTCTATGCAAGAAAAGCCCACCCCTCGAAAGCTTAAATGTTGAATACAAATCTTACCAGTAAGAGTGTGGCATTAGCTCTGAAAAACATTCCAACTTTAGCTGAGTTATGGTATAACAATGTTCCCGCCGCGATACGTGAAACAGTAGACCTGAAAGATTTTTCTGAAATAAAGGTAAATCAAAGTTTTAATTTGAACAATTTAGTTCTTCTTCACGATTCCAGAAAACCCGCAGGTCAGCTAACAACTACTTTGAATGGTTGCATAAAAGTCTGCCCACTTATCAAGAACTTGATAATTAGCGAGTTAGACTGAAATGCAGTTGGAATTGTGTTCCGAGTTTGAAAATTTAGAGAAATGTCGTTTGCAACTCGCGGAACTGTTTACCCTCAACTGTGCATCAATAATTTCCTCGAATTGCGAGGCGATAAATTGACTAGCTTGCTGCTCACTTCATTCACAGTATCTATTGAAGTACTGGCTAAATGTTGTCCTAACTTGATAGATTGATATTACAGGAAGCCTGCTTTCCAAGCAATGGCACACAGTCATATACTTTTTCCGTGTTTAAAGTCCCTCAGTCTACATTTTGTTCAGTCAGTTTCGAATCTTCTACCAGCACCTTACTTAATATCGTCGTGTCCAAACTTGAGGGAATTGCGTCTTTTGTTTTGTGTTTTTTCAAGAGAAATAAAAGAAGCTGTGCTACAAGGTTTTGAATATCAGTCATACTGCTTTGACCTCTCAGTTCCTAAAAAATGTTTTAGAAGAGCACACTCATTTATCAACCATTATCCTGCGACGTACAGGTATTTCAATGGCATAAATTATTCAACATGTCTTTTTATTGTTGAATTCAATAAACTTTTTCAAAAATAATAGTCTGTTTTTGTTTCCTATCAAAATGGCCAATAGATAGAACTAAACGAAATTCTTTACTTATGGCAACATCTGGAACTGCTTCGATATAACCATAAAAAGTATGAGAATGTAATTTAGTCACACAGTGATAAGTAAGGGAGCAACAGAGCTGTTTAACCTACAAGGTTCTTCTTGATTAGTCAGTCGTCCATTAGCAATCCATCAATTGTTTGCACTTTCCTATTGCTAACGGCAACAATGTGTTTTTGCAATTACACTTGTTGCAATTAGTAATTGAAGGAAAGCAGATATCAAGTTGGGCATCTCTATATAGAATTCAAGTTGAACCAAACAGCTTAAAGTAATCAAATATCTTAGGCTATCCAAATTCCAAAAGCATGAAGTAATGTGAAAAAGTAAAAACATCGCACTTTATTCATATATTTTGCTAGAAAAATTGAAGATAAATATAATTTGAATAATAATAAATTATAGTTTGCAAAAGGTTAACTTATTGCACAAATTTTTTTAGTGTTATTTTTCATTAAAAAGATAGATAATTCGCTTTATATCATAATAACCGTAAGAAAGGTTTCAAGAAAAATAAAAGTACAAACTGACTCCTTTTAGTTTCAGATATCTTTCTTTTATCCAATATAAAGTACAAAGAAAAAATTAACAAATATAAGAAAAGGATATTTTCAATTTATTTATTTAGAGCACAACTTTGCCCCTTCTTAGAATACAATCTATGGACGCAAAAGAAAAAATAAATAAAAAGATATACTGTTCTTAACTATTCATGCAATATTTTAAATATGTTTAAAACATAAATTAAAAAAAAAAAAGATTTAAACATAATGGTTCACTCTAAAATGTGTTATCGAACATTTTTGAATTCAAACAAAAAATTAAATTATGAAACAGTAGGTGACCAACTAAATTAAATAATTTTAAATAGTTAATTTCTGATACTAAATATCAATAAAGTAGATTAAAGAATAGGAATTAACAATACCAATCATGATTTAGAAAATTTTAAAAAATGTCTATACTTTTTTAACACAAAGAAATTTACTTTTCATATAACTCAAAAATAACAACAGAATCAAATAACTCAAAAATAACAACAGAATCAAATAACATAGCTTTAACTGATCTTTATTTTAATGATGAACAAAGATTATTTAACAACTTAATTAGAGGTGGGAAAATAGTTTTCTGAACTATTTCTTCTTTTTTACAGGAGCATCAGCATCCATTGGTATTGTAGATTCCATTTCTAAAGGTTTTTGAGTTTCCATTTTTCTTTTAGTGGGGGCAACGTAAGTACCAATACCGGCTGCAGCTTCTGCTTCCTCCACTGAGTATGGTTTCAATTCCAATGCTTTTAACCTATGCAAATAAAACATACATTTCACTTAGAGATTTATTAAGATTCTTAATACTCTCTGCTCTTCGTAATATAATTCTGTGTACAAATATTTTGTACAATTGTAACAGTTATATGATTTTTAGAATAAAACATATTTTGTCTTATGCAAATTACAATTACTAGTTTAAATCTAAAAAAATATATATTTCTTAATGCTCAAAATTGCTTTCTTATTGCTAACAACTCTTTGACTTTTAACAACATTCAATTAAGTCAAGTTGACGGGAAAAATAAATTACTCAATTTTTAAGAGCATTTGGATGGATGAGGTACTACCTCATTGTTTTATAACAACCAGTCAAAAATTATAATTTAATGCATGGTTTAACTATTTTTTAGGCTTATAAAATATTTCATAACTTTCATTAAATTTCCTTAAATAATTTTAAAGTAAAAACTAAAAACAACTAAGAAATCGATTTTTCAAAGAAACAATCAATAGCAACCAACAACACTGTGTGCAGATCCATTTGTAGAGATTCTTACATTTTGCAGATACTTTTTTTAAAAAATTAATCTCTTTTTTTAAAAAATAAATATGCGTTTATGCAAAAAAAAAGTTAAACTAAATATGAAGGTATAATATTAGAAGCTTTGACAGAAGGTTCAGTCAAACAGGTAAAACTGTGAATTAGCATTTTGTACGATGTGAATGCAAATTTAAGGAATGGATAACTTCGAAATCTCAAGATTAACTCATATTTGCCTCTTACTTATGGAAAACAGCAGATATTTATCTTCCAAATACATAGAATTAATGTTTTTCATCCATGTTAAGAGTATTTAAAAATGTTTAATATTTTTTGCCGTTTTTGAAGAAGAAAAAATTCTATTACGAAGGAATATTCTGAGTTAGCAGACACTTTCGGGTTGAGTACGCAAATAGTCTATTTTTTTTCTTTTTTTAAATCTTACTCGGGAAACAATGCAAGTGAAAGTGGTACAAAATGAAGGATAATTGTCGTTAACAAAGGAAGTAGACTATCACCATATTACTTGGCATGCTATGAAGACGTGATTTACGTTTTGTTATTCATCTTATTTCAGGGTATTATATATACATATATTCTTAACTTAAAATATTTTAATTCTTTTTTATTTATTTTTTTCATTAGCTTCAACAAAAATTGGGGAAAAAATCATAAAAATTTCAAAACATTTATTAAAATTCTTAAAAATTAGTTATATATTTTTTCCAAGAATTTGAGGAAAACTTCGAACTCTGTTTGAATTTTTCTAAAACTTTAATTACAACAATTAGAGAGCTTATCAAAAAATATTATCAAGGAAGTGAACTTATTGATTATATAAGAGAGCACAAAGAAGAATAATCAGTATTTATAATAAACGAAATTTTGTATATGTATAGGAAGGGGGATAGGGTAAGTCGGACCTAGGGAAACATTGGAGCAGCCTTAATTATTTTGGTACTATGAAATATTTTTGTTTATTCTTTCCATTAACATGCTACACCATTAGTGTTATAGTACAAGAAATCCAATCAAAGAATCAGATGGTTCGGTTTAAGTGCGCCATTTACAAGCATTTTAATTACACTACATTTAAGTCTGCCATTCTTTAAGTTGTATTTTAGCTCTGGAAAGTAATTTTTAAAGCCCCCAAAACTTTCATCCCTGCCAACTTCGTAGAAAAAATAGCGGAGATTTTTACTAGTGACAATTTTTAGTTACGTTTACAGTTTTAATACATCCTGCAAAGGCGAAAAATCAAAAAGAGCAATGCAAAATAGAAAATAATATAGTAGTATATAAGCCTTAACGAAGACCTTTTATACCATTTATCATAATTACATAAACTGAACACTCAGCATTTAAGTAACTTCTATCATTTACATTTTCAACGAACATATGCAGTTGCTGTGGCCTTGAATAAGACATATTTAATAGTTACATTTTTACAGTTGTATAGAACATTTTTAACTGTTCATAACAGTTACCAGAAAAATACTTTTCCTCAGAAAGTATTAAGCGAAATAAGGTGCATTTTTTTTCTTTTTTTTTTGAGAAAGTATTTTCTCTAATCTGCAATATTTTTTTAATCTGTTTTTTATACAATCCATTTTCTAGTTGCCCAATTGAGAAAATTTTTTTTGCCATTAGCGTATATTTTATTGCTAAAAAAGTATTTTTAATTTTTTCAAAATATACAGAGAAATTTGAAAATAGACGGGTAAAAAGGTGATAATTGTAAAATATAGGTGGCTCTGTAATAAAACAGGAGACTTGAAAGGTATGCACTTTACATTCTAAAATTTGTTTCAATAACAATACAGTAATAATTTGCTGTATTGTATAATTTAAGTTTATAGGATAAGAAGAGAAATTATTGTGATCTTTTGTGTTATACCTTGGTTTAATGAAAAATAGGGAAAGTTGGACTATCACAATGTGTCAGAAAAACTGTATTATAAGCATTATTCTAATTATCTTATAGTTTATACAGTAGTCTTAATAATATAATAATAAATAGTTAAAATTATATTTCATTATACAAAGTAAATTAATATAAGTGCCAACTTTATTTTTATAAAATAGAAATAGGTGCAGTAAGAATGTTTTTTTTTTTTACAATTAAAGGCTTATTTTATTAATATTTAAGAAAATAATTCAATTAGTGTGGTACATAACAGTTATCCTTCAATATTGTTTCTGAGCATATTTTTAATCCATTGTATCTCATGAGGTGAACTAAGGTAATCCCAGCTTCGTAACATGTTGGTCCACTGCTCAAGGGTTTTTCTTTTAAAACAAAAAAATTAAAGTAAAAAGATTTTCCAACAGAACAATTTTAAAAAAAATCTTGAAGCATAAAAAGTAAGCTATTTGGCTCACAGAAAAAATAAACCTCTTTAATGAAATAAAAAATTAAAAGGGGATCAACTTTGGCGGTTTACCTTTTAAATAAAATTTAAGGATGAAAAACACATACCTTCTTTTGTGAACTTTAGTACGAAAATGTTGCTGCATGGAATGGTTGTCTATGAAATACCTCCTACAGAATGAGAACAAAATGTCATATATTAGCTCCTGTATAACTTTTTCATTTGCAAAAAAAGTAAAGAAAACAGACATTCAAAACAAGTTTAAAAGCCTGCATGTTATGGTAAGTTTGCATACATTATTTCAGAGCAACAATTTTTACTTTTAAATCTTCATCTATCAAAAGGTACCTAGATAATAGAATCAATACAGAATCAACTTGATTCTAGAAGATAGAGTCAAGATAACATGTCTTAGTCTTTTATACTAGTGAATAGGTATTTAATATTTAGAGAGGTAGTTACGACACAGTATACTCTACATGTTATTTTTAAAACAATTTTTGTAAGTTTGAAATTCCTTTGGCACCGAAGCAATTGCAGTTGGCATTAACACAGACTAATATCGAAATATTTCTTATTCACAATTAATAAACGATAGTAATTGAATTTTCGTACTTTACTTTGCCCTAAATTCAAACTATTTGGCAACTTTTCATTTAGTTGTTTTTGAACAGATTACAATTGATTTTTAAATGCAAGAAATAAATATTTTAAAAACATATTATTTTTTTTTGTAAAATTCAGAATATTTTTTTCATTGTGTATGAAAAATAAACTTTGAAAGTCCTACTGATAGCGAACGTTTGAGAAAGTTCCCTTCTTGAAACATAGTTATTTTGGGGTTATTTTTACAAATGAGCAGCACCTAATAAATATCCTCAAAATCCATGTAAATAAGAAAATATACACTTACGCACAATGTAGGCAATAAAATTGAGCACAGCCAGGCAAATCGATATCAACGGGTTGATTTAATAGATTTTCGGCACTTTTTGGTTCCAAATCTTTATCTATTTCATCTAAATCCCTTGTACGCCGTTTAATTTTCAACTGTTTACGTTTAGCTGTATATCCATGATTACCTTTTTTTCTAGAATACCTAGTCATTTTATCTTGAAAAATTTATTAAGAATTTGGAGAACTTGATAATCCACGCGAAAATGTTTATTTACATTTGCTTTGCAAGGGTATAACGTTTCCTACTGCCTATTTTTAGTGAAGTGAAAGATCAATAGACCTTAACAAAAATTTTTTTTTCCTGAAATTTCTTTTTTATTTTTTTTTATTCTTTTCATTATTCTGAGAAGAAAATTAAAAACAAAGGTTATTATATATTTTTTTCAATTTTTGTTTTGCTTTTTTCCTTTCATTTCGTAATTTTTTTCCATGTTTTCTCCACATTTTTGCTTTCTCAAGATACTTGTCGCCTTTTCGTCTTTGTTCCTTTTTGAACGAAAAGCTTACTCTTAACTGTAATCAAAAGCAACAGATTCAAAAAATTTAAATGAATTTATTTATATATTTTCTGGAGTGTTATTGTAAATATGTTAGGTTATGAAGAAGTATGACATACCACAACCTACAACATAAGCATGAGTTTCTTTTCTAAGTTAACAAAGATTATTAACGAATTTAAAAACTAGCCGGTTTATCTGGACATGTTTTAACTTGATGATCATCGCGGGAGATACACTTGGTTGTCCAGCTGTACTACAAGAAAATGGATTTAAATGTGAATGTTATCAAAATTACAGCCGATGCTTTTGATTGGACTATCGAAAAGTCTGCTCAAAGTCTACAAACCTTTCTTGATGGGAATTATTATGTGGTTGCTTACCTCATTAATATAAGTTATGGTTTGCTGAAATCCATTGCGGAAACAGTTTCGTTTTCGGCTTATGTTCTACGATGCTATTATTTAGACTTTCTAGCTTTTTTGTCTGAGTTGAATACTGGAGTTAGTGTTGTGTTTTCGGTAATTTGCGGCTTTTTTTCAAGATTAGTACTCAGTATACATGCAGGACTTAGTTGCATCGGAGGTTCTATTTCTTTACTGTATTTAAGAACAGTGATTGGTTTTCAGCTTATCGTAAACTATTTGACGTTTTGTGTGGAAGAATTATTTTATTTCTTAAATGTTTGTTTTGCTGCAGTTTTACTAATACTTCAGTTGGGTCCCAATTTTCTTATATTTTTATGGAATGTATTGCTTTGTTGTGTGACAAATATTATTGATTCTTTTCATTTTGTTGGTCAGTCTCTCATAAACTTTAGTGCAACTATTTGTGACAAGTGCCTCGTTTTTATCTTGACCATACCACCAAAAGCTTATCTTGGACTTTTACTTATAATATACATTTTCTACATACGTGTGATAGTTATAAAGTATTTTAAATTGAGTCTTAAATCATTAGCAGTTGCTACAACCAAAATATTAGTGTATCTGTGGACAGCAGTTAAATTGCTCTTCAGTTTGTTACAAGCTATTACCAATAAAGTTTTTAAAAGAAGAGCTAGTCTAAGAAGATCAGAAGGGACATTACATTTATTCTGCAAGAGTGTTTTTAACAGATATTTTTCATCTTTTGTGCCATTTTTGACTCTTTCAGTTTTTCAAAAGAAACAAAAGCAGGTTTTAGATTCAACTGAAAAGGAGAAGTTTATGTGTGTTGTTTGTCAAGATAAAGAAAAGAATGTACTCTTAATTCCTTGTAGACACCTGTGTATGTGTGAAGAGTGCACTGTCACAGTCCTCCAATCCCATTTTGGGTGCCCCCTGTGTCGAAAACAGATTATAGACACTGTGCGTGTCTATACGTGACTCGTTTTGTTTTTCTGAATTTTTATATGATGATTTTTATCTATTTTTTATTATTAAATATTTTAAACTGTGGTGTTTTCACGCGGCCCCCAAAGCTTGGATTTCTCATAGAACGAAGAATGGTTCGTGAAATTTGGTCTGGTGGACAGACTGGTGTTGATCAAGCTGCATTGTTTGTGGGTACAGAAATGGGTATACCTGTTGGAGGGTGGTGCCCCCTAGGCGGTTTAGACGAAAATAACAAATCTATTCTGGAAAAGTACCCATTAAAAGAAGTTACTGGATTTTCCTTTGAAGATAGTGTTGCCGAAAGGACAAGGCGCAATATCGAAGATAGTGATGGAACATTGATTATTTTACCTTCCCTTCCTATGCCAAAACACATCACTGATGGTACACTGCTCACAATCGATCATGCCAAAGAGAAAAGAAAACCTTTTCTTTTGGTTGCTGTCACTGAAAGTAGTTCTGTAATTACAATTCGTAGTTGGATTAGACATCATCAAATTAAAATACTCAATGTTGCTGGCCCTAGAGAGTCCAGAAGTCCAGGAATTTATGATCAATCGTGTAAATTGCTGCAGAAGTTATTTTCTTTGGAATGATTCCTGCTCAATATGAATCAATATCTGATTAATTTTATTTTGTTTTCCTTTGATAATTCGTAGTTTATAGTCAACAAAGTTTAATGTTTCATATATTTGTATTGTTAAATTTAATTTTATATTACTACAATAATAAAAAGAAAGTTTTATTTGTTGAGTAGGTTATTATAGACAGATATATACACATGCGAACACTGTGTGCAGAAAGATAATAACCATTGTAAAAAAGTTAAAATTCTCGTGGCCTATGGTGCAGGTCAATCTGGCAGAAATTAATAGAATTTTCTTCTCATTTGCATGCAATTGCACTCAGCTTGGGAGTGGGTGACCACCCAGAACTGCTTAAATTGAGGCTTCCAAGAATTCATAACTGGTTTTCTCTATCTGTTTCCTAGTAGAAAAGGTTATTTATCATACAGACATGTATAAGCATAATAATAGACCTTTCCACTTCGGGCAGTGAGGAAGACATTGCCCCTATCATCTTCACTCATCCTACTATATAGTTACTACCAATGAATCAAGATTTTCTAGTTTTATGAAGGACATTGAAGTTGATTATAACTATAAGTTCATAACCATTTAGCGAACCTTTTTAATTTATTATAGTAATTTGCACCAAAAAAAATTAGTTCTGTAAAAGGGTTAAAAAGCTTAGACACAATTTTAAATATGTGTTCTGAAATGTGTATCGAGGTGTTATCATAAAACCCTAAAAAAAAAATACTTTATATAAAGTGTATTTAAAATTTGATCATCTTCAAAAGTTTTGAGCTAACTAATTTTAAGATGCAATATCCCTGCCCATGGAGTCTGATAAAAAGATTTGATATAAAAATTAGGTTTTTAAAATAAGTGATAATTAACTTATACACTGAAAGAGATTTTTGTATCAGATGGTTGATGTTATTGTCTGAAAACGTTATCTTAATGACTCGTATTAATTTTATGCTGATGACAACCGAAAAAAATGTGGTAGTCTGATAATTTTATATCGCAATATAAAATGTTCTGACCATAATATGAAACAATCATATTTCTATTATAGAAATTTTCTGATAAAATCGATGAAACATAAAGAATCTGATTGTCAAACTCTTATGTGATGTCTGGTGAAACTGCAGAATAGAAAGTGATAAAGCAATTAGGTTTCAAGTTGATGAAACAAGTAATGATCCAAAATGCGAAGCTGAAGCAAAAGATTTTGAATGGGCAATAAAATGCTTCATATTTCTAACAATGTTGTGTATATTGTTTGACCCGCTAAGCCAAATTAATTTTGCCAGTAGTAAACTAATGCAAAGTGCTGATACAAAGGTTAATTTTTTAATAACTATTATCTTGTTAGATATGGTTTTACTGTATCTACTTGTAAATGGAGACTTATTCTGCCGAGAATAATTTAATTTTAAAAATTTTATCTGATCTAAATTTACCGTTGATTCAACATTTAGGTTCTCTGTCTTTATAATTCATCAAAGTTTTCAGTTAAATAAAACAAATAACTTACTTCATTTATTCAGTAATTAGTTTGCAATAATTAAATTAATTTCCTTACCTTTATTTTATTAGTAATATTAAAAATTTTAATTGCATTATTTAATAATTTGTTGTTAAGTAATTAAGTCAGGTTAAGTTAAGTAGTTTATACATTTTATCAATGTTTTGATCGTAATTGTTAAGCATGAATAGAATATTAAAAAAAATCTGATTTAAATAGAATTTGTTTATTATGGATTTTTTAAGCAATACATTATTTTTATCAAATGTGATAAAATGCCTCAAATTTATCACATGAAAAACCCTAAGCATGTCCCTGGCTGCACTTTCCGCTTTTTTCAATTTAATTAAAAAATATGTATTTTCAAGGAAAAATAGTTATTTTCAATCACGTGATTTAGCCTGATGGAATTCTTTCCCACAATTTGTGTCATTAAAGTAGATTAAGTAATAGCTAGATGCATATTGATTAACCATCAAATCATTTTTTCAAAAGAGTCAGATATTTATATAAATTGATTCTCTGGATCAATTGGACTGATTTTGCTCAAATTTTGCCTTAGAAAATTCTATTCTCTAAAATGATACAAAAATTATGTGAACCTTACAATTCAACATTTTTTCTACCATTATTAAGTAAAATAATAAATATTTACTAAAAGTTATTTTTTGCATGGAATGATCTTTGGATAAATGAATTTTATAATTCTGTGCAAAAATTTTTCAATTCACTTATAAGTTTCTCGAGATATAGCGAAATACACAGAAAGTAAAATTAACATTAAGGGGGTCCAATTTTGGGAGAGCCTGACCAAATTCTTGGAACCTTCTATATTTTAGGGGTCTGAAATCGGAATGCATGAAAAAAAGGCATGTTTATTCAGGGAAAATAAGTTTTTGTACTTGATTTTGTAACTTAAGATATAGTCTGCACTTATTAATTAGCATATTAGAGGTCACCACCTTAGCCATTAAGATTGAGTCCTAGAGCGTGAAAATACGATTACTGGATCGAAAGTTATTCAGAGTGGTTCTTTTTTTTTTTGGCACACTGTACATTAATTCTATAAATTAAAAATTAATGTAATTTTAAATATTTGGGTAAGTATGTGAACTTTCTAAATTACTTAACCCTAAATAACTAAACTTAAATTGGTGTTACTCTGCGTGTATATTTTCTTTATTTCTAACTAATTAGTGCAACTTAAAAAAAGTATTATACTATATATAAGTATTAAGAACTAAAAATAATCGTTTTCCCTCTTGGCATATGTTAAAAGTATCCTCCACAAATAGCCTTGCTGCAGCAGTTGCTTACATACTTAGTTATTCTTTCTGTGTTTCTTAGAAGAAAAGGTGTATTATGGTATTGATGCAAGCTTCTGCATGTTTAACTAAACATTAGAGTGTTAGATGATGACTTTAACAGATCTTGAAAAAATAAGTGTACAGCCTTGCTTATCAACTTTGGTTAACGTATTTTATTAGTTATGTAGGTAGTGTGAGTGGAACTATTAAGAGTCAGTAATACATTATACGAAAGGTTAATTATCTTGGGTTAATGAACTAAATCAACATCTGCTGTAAATTTATTTTATTCTATTATTCAGAACAATATAGACTTCGAAAATAATATTCTTTCCTTTTCAGAACTTGCAAAAACAAGATCGTTAAATGCTTTTCGGGCGCATCAAATATAATTTGTAAAATAGCAAATAGTTTCTTAAGTAGAAAATGTGTACTACGTACGAAAGATAGCTTTGACAATCTTAAATTTTCCTCTAAGTTTTTGCCACAATGAATTTGGCTTCACTATACCAAATATAAATGACAGTATATATATTCTTTAGGTAAGCTGCTTAAATGTTAGGGTAAAATTGATGCAAAAAGAAAAGTGATGATCCCATGAGGTCTACCTAAAGAAAACTACCTGAGAGGTATCTTCTCATTTATAATTGTGTGGAAGATACTTTCAGGCATTTATTAGGTTGTTCATATCTTTAATATTATTTTGACACTGTGTATAGAATGAAAGTGTATTGTGGTTGAAAAGTTTTCGCCATAGGTGGTATAAACTAGTTTTTACTGGGCAAAAATAGATTTTTGACCCAAAAATACAAATTTCTTAATTATAAACACATAGTTATTAGTGTATATTGCAGGTTGCTAGTTATAAATAAACATTAGCCTCCTTTTAAGACAAATAGCTTCAAATTTTAAGTAAAGAACTTAGTTTAGTTCTCTTTAAAACATAATTTAAAATAAACAATATCAAAACATTTTTGATTATCAACAAAAGATGACCTGCCATATTCTTGAAAGCCATGTTTATTGATATTCTCCAGTGTCTAAAGTGCTGCTTTTAACTCTTTTGTACATTTATTCCCAATATTATGTTATTAAATCAAGTATTTATTTAAGAGGTATGAAATGTATGTATATTAATTATACATTTAAATTAATCATAACTTCTCTATCACAATTCTATTGACCTTGATATTTTTTTTTGTCTATAATGAAAAACATTTTTGACTGAGATAAAAACTTTTACATTTCTTTAAAGGAAACATAGAAATTAAAACCAGTGTAGGCATAGTAATTTTAATTTACCTCTAAAATTATTTTCCCAAATTTAAAGTTTTTACTAATTTATTTTCTGACACTTTCTTTCTCTATACGTAAAGTATGAGGGTGATTCTACAAACTTGGAAGGGTGGTTCAGCATATGGAAACTTGTATTTATAAAATTTACTGATGTTTACACAAAAATTATCATCTTTGACTAAACATGCGAAAATAAAAATTATCATGTTTGCCAACATGATTCAAGATGCATGCGGCCCATCATTAGTCAACCTGCTGTGCAAGTGGCTTTTCACTGAAAAAGGTTGTACACTCCTAATTAATCTACAGGAATGTAAGGTGCTAAAATTAAAGCACAAATTCAAAAAATGTCACAAGTGAAAAATTGCTTGAATTGTGAAATCAACATAAAATACTTCTTTGGAGTTTCAATATTCACAACAAATTTTAAAAATCATCCTTTTTCATTATTATTCTGGCTTTTTATTGTGTGAAAATTCACATATCACAGTTGTGAGTGACATTTTACTGGTGTATTGAATCTTGCTTTACCAGGCAGACTATCGTCCTCTAACCATTACATCATAAGTCTATCACAACTATAGCTCGTATTATTAGTGGTTGCAATTTCGAACATTTATTGTGAATACTGTATTACAGCAAAAAAGCATTGTGTGTTGATTTTGTATATAAACAAATTTTTTTCCCATGCCACAATTTGCGCTTGTGCCTTATATGTCACTTTGGGTCTTACATTCCTATTTAAAAAATGTATGTTTAAACAAACAACTATTCCTCCAAGTTTGTTTCATGATTGGCGAAAGAGTCGATATAATGTAGGATTATACATTAAACATATTGATATGAAATAATCCAAATCTACTATGGATGAATGTACGTCTTAAAAAGGAATTCTCACAATATCTAAATTTATAGATATTTACATAAAATCTTATTTTAATTAGTCGTAATATTTTAAATTTAATTAACATTACAGTAGAGAACCGATTATCCGGAACGATCGTGACCTTCGCTATTCCAGATAACTGATTTTTCTGGTTTTCTGAATCGCTACAAAACACCTTTTTTTTTATTGTATATCAAATCCAACTAGAAAAAAAAAATTAAAAATAGTTTTAAGAAGAAGAATAAACGATAAAGTAATACACATAAGTTGAATTAGTTAAAAAGGGAAAACATTGATGAAATAAAAAATGTATACAATCTTAGTATAAAATGAACAAAAAAGGTAAAATAAAAAGAAATAGCATGTTTTTAAAAAGACTCATCCATTTTCTGTTGACGGAAATTTGGATTTTGTTGCATGAACAACTGCTGAATCTTACATATTTATATAATGAGAGATACGTCACCAAACCGTTTTTGCTCCATCCCCTTAATCAGCTCTTTTGTCAACTCGATACATCGTTCACCAGAAATAAAGGGATGTGCTTCCATCATTGTCTGCGAGAGGGCTCAAAACCATCCACTCCATTTTTTACTTCATTATAACTAATGAAAATGGAAAAATTGTGAGAATTTTTTTCTTCTTTTCTATGCGTGAGAAAGAAATAGTTTAAATTTAATTCTGGATGGAAAAAAAATCTTTCACAAATTCCTGGAGAAAAGAAAAACAGAATTTTTTACTTCATTATTCTTTACTTTTCATTGTTCTCAAATGAGAAGAGAAAAATTACAAGCATTTCTTTTCCCTTCTATGCACCCAAGAAAGACATCGTTTGAATATAATTTTGGATGAAAAAAAAATCTTGAAAATCTCTGGAGAAAAGAAGAAAAAAAAAAACTTTTTTTACTTCATTATTCTCAAATGAGACAAGAAAAATCACGAGCATTTCTTTCCGATCGCGAATAAGTCATCTTTCGAATATAATTCTGATAAATAAAAAAAATCTTTAGTAAATTTCTACAGAAAAGAAATAAAATTTTTTACTTCCCTAAGGAAAAATATTTCTGCAAAAACTCACAAACATTCTGCGATAATCTTATTCCTCTTTAGGCTGCATTTCTCCTCCACTCTAGCTACACATGAATTGGGAAGCTGACGTAATAAAAAGAATTTATGTTCCGCCCTGCCCACACTCCGCTCAAAATGAATAAATTGAAAAAAGGGCACAGTTGCAATACTTGACCTTGGGGCATTGTTCAATTTTCCTTGGCTGTCACTATGTTCAGAGGGGAATAGCAGAATTGACGGATAATTTTTCAAAAATTAAGAAAAAAGGAGAGGTACTGACCGAAGTAATATGAAAACTAGGAATTCCATTGTTCCTGTAGGGAGCACTTTAAGATATCTCTAAGAATCAGAGAGGACAAATAAAATTATTTGTTTTAACTCTTCTGCTCTAAGCAAACAACAGACATGATGACTTCCCCTGCTTAAGGGCTAGATGATAAGAAAACAGGAGTTCAATGAGTCACTCTTGCTCACTGAGCTATGATTGAAAAGAAACAACTAGGTAGGGGCTGCGTGAGGAAGGGAATGATTGATGATATTTAGTACAAGACTATTGGTTCAGGGAACTAATGATTATTTCTAAAATTGGCAATAAAGTAAACATCTTTTAAAAAAAGAAAGAAAAATCCTAAAAATTTTTTTATTTTTTTTTTTTAATGGCAGGAAAATTTATGGAATTTCCTTCTGGTTGTCTGATTTCTGGATAAGAGGTTCTGCACTGCATAAGGCTAACTATTCTAAAAACTTAACATATTTTTAAATTTTCAAAACAAATTTAATATTTAAAAGATTTTAAACGATATTACTAAAAAACGAATATGATAATAAACCCTGTATATATGATAAACAAAACGAATATGATAATAAACCCTGTGGCAGAATCGTGACATTGTCACAGAATGTTACAGAGTTCTTGTAGAAAGATTTTTCTTTCCTACAGAAATTTACACGTAATATTTGAATCATACATTTAGATAATAACTTTTTGACGCGCTTAATTTACGACGATAGTATCGTAAATCGATGTAATGTTTCGATGGTATTTTTGGCAGTTATCGATATTGATTTTCGCTTGGATTTTAAACATCATGATATATTTCGAACAATATGGAAAATTCAAATCGTGCATTTGAGTATTTACTTTTAAGGCAATAATTCTATCTAGTTTTTGGCAGTCGTTGTTTTTTCCATAGCTTTTAAAGCCGATGTTTTTTTAATGCGATATAATTTATTACAAGAATGTTATCTCAAAACAAAACACGTAATTGAGGAGCCCGATTCACATAACTTCATTGTCGAACTTTTTTTCCAGTTACCACTATGGATTTCATGATTTTTAATTATATTTCTTTTATTGCGATAATTATTTATTAAAGGAAATAATTTGTGTGCCTACCCCCCCCCCAAATGCAAGAATATCATCCATAATATTAGAATAATTACATGTTTTATTAAAAAAAATTATAAATTTTTTTGTAAACACAGCCCTTTTGTTATTTTAAATTAGTAACATATGTTTCTTATTATTAAAAGTATCTTGCAGAAAGATATTAGTGCTACAGAGTTTTGTCGCAGAAAGCTCGAAAAAATTCTGCCAAAGGGATAATAAAAAAATATTTTATAAAAATTATCTGAAAAACCAGCTGTTTCGAATCAGATTTGATTTGAAGAACAAAAATTAAACTAAAAACTTTTCTTTAAGAAAATTTTATTAAGCTCAATTTTTCAGAACAAGCAACTTGGTAAAAGCAAAAAAATTTCTTTTCATTAAACATAACAATCATAATAACAATGCACATAATTGCACGGCATCTATAGCCTTCGAGACCTTAATACTAGCTCTCTTCTATAATTAACAAAGATAGTCAAAATTTTTATAAGTGGTTTTATAAATAACTTATAGAGTCTTACAATGACTAGAAAAACTAGAAATGTAAAATAAACAAGACCACAAAGTAAGGTAACAGCAAGTACAATAGCAACACCTCCATAACTTGGAGATAAGTTCCAATTATCTAAAAGTTGAAGAAAGTCAACATACAAATCTGAATACACAGCAGGAATACTTGTCCCAAACAAATAGCAAGCTTTAAAGTAACTTTCAATGTTACACCATATTAAGAGATCCAACAAATAATTACTCGTATTTTCTAATATTGAAAATAAAGCTATACATTTATCACAAATTACGTCAACATAAAACTGGTCACATTTTAACATATGGAAGTTTTCTTTGGCAAAAATAAGTAGGAAAGACAGGAAGTTTTTCCATTGAATTATACTATTCATCGCACCAGTGCAATTGTTAGTATAAATTATTTTTATAATGTGCACAATGTTGAAGGTACATTTTGCCAATTTGGAAAAAGTATAAGCAGCGCAATGACTAGTAGCGAAGACTGCTACTAGAATAAAAATACGATCCCTATTCATTATTTACTAGTTAATGAATTTCTTTAAACACGTAGTCATTTTCTTGTTAGCAGTTTGCTTTTATTAGATTATTACGGTCCTCAACATAAAAAGTATTTGTATTGAGGTTTTCCCGGTAAATTTTTTTTACATAACCTTGCGCCATTATCGAAAATTTAATCTGTTTTAAAGGTGAATAAAACATTGCTTTGTATAGAGGCTGGCATTATTTGAACTGGAGATTATTAAGTTTACACAGAAGTTAAATTTTCATGAAACTTGAGGTCCGATGGATAGAGGGCATATCAAATTATATTTATAAACATTTCTGGAGCGATGCCAAATTAAGTTTTCTGAGTGGCGAAAAAGTAGAAAAATTTATTTATCAAACATATTAAATACGAAGTCAACTATAAATTGACAGTTTTAAATTAATCTTTTGTACAAGTTGTTTTTTTGCGAAAAAAAAAAATCCATTCTGCATCGTTCAAAAATTTATATTTTTGCTGTTTTCTTTTTAAGATAGAAATATATTTTTGGGGTTATGAAATAAATTTTTTGAAAAGAAAAAGCTTGAGAAAAGTTACAAATATCAATATATATTATAAAATTTTTGATAATAAATTCGGCTGTTGCTTGGCTGACCGCTTTTTTAATAAATAGAGGCATTTGATTGGTCGATTACATCATCGTNCTTTGGCTAATACAATTTGATAGCTGGCAACATGATAAATTTATGAGAAGTGAGCGTTAATTGACAAACTATGATATATCATGATTTCATAAAAAAATTGCATTTTATGTAACTTAAACTTAAATTTTTAATTCTTATTGTAATCTCTTCATTTGACTTAATCGTTAATCAATATATTTTTACATCAGTCATTTGTGTTATTTGATACTAAAAATTTTGATTAGTATTTTTTTAAAATAGGCTTAGTTACTTCTGAATGAGTACAATATTTTGAGACAAGATGTTTTTAATGTTTACATAAGTGTGCAGATGTGTTTGATTGATGTTTTTATGTAATTTAAAATGAGTAGTAGACCAAGGACAACGTCGATTGCTGAGAGCAGTAAGCAATCGTCGCAGCCTAGTTTTACGGGAATCAAGACAACTAGTAAGTTGCTTCAAAATTTGTTTCTTATCTTCTTTTTGACGATTCAGTGTTTTTCATACGTCAATGTCCATTCACTGAAATCCATATCTTTAGCCTTATGTTCTTATTTAGCATTAATTTCAACTGTTTTAAAATATACGCATTTGGCTGAAACTAAAAAGATAGCACGTCATGATTTTAACGATCGTTTTAAGTGTACATTTGATTGAGCTGCGTTCGGAAATTCATAGCTAAGTGTGTAGACAGATGTTGTATTTAATACCAACTATTGTCCATATTAAACATTTCAATTAAAGTTATTGAGACTATACTGTTATAATTTTAGTTTTACATATCGTATATCTTGATCTTCTGTTACGTATGTATTCAAGGTTATATACTTAATTAATATCGTGTATGCTTTGAAGAAGTGTGATTTATCATTATTATATTCTTTTTTTTGTGCTAGTTATTGCTCTGCTGATCCCTTGTATAATTGACCACAACATACATAAAACATTGATGTTAATTCAATACTGCAGCAAGACTTTTGATACAGTTATAGCAACATTTTGACATGCAAAATAACAAAATCTGGTTTCATATGTCCTACAATAAGACTGTTGATCTGGATATGTATTACCTGTCTAGATGAGTTAGTAGTAATGTGTAGTATATGATAAATAATATGGTTATTAGTGTTTGCATGCTCATATTAATTGGTGGATAGATAAGTTGAGCCATCTTATTAAGTTTCAATTTATCTAAAGATAAATTTTTTTATGTCGGTGATATTTTTTTATAAAGCTAAAATATATTGAGGTTAAAATATTTTATATATTTATTTCAACATTTTTATTATCAATAAACAATCTGAATTTTTTAGTTCCTAGCTAATAAATTATTGATCAATAGATAAATATTAAATAATATCTCTTAATAGTGCAAAGTCATTTGTCAAATACAAATATCCTAATGTGATTTTTTTTAAGGAAAAAAATTTTAATATTAAAGAAAACTTTTGTAGCAAACTAATTCAATTCTAATATTTCAATAATAAAAAGTAACTTTAATTTTCTTGTTGTACCATTTTTTCCTGCACTATTTTTTTCCTTCTGTGACCAGGGCTAAAAGCATGTTATTTGGATTTGAGTACTGTCTTTATTTGTTTAATTTTTTTTCGTTAGCCAATGTTTCATTTTCTTTAAAAATATAGGTATTTAACCTTTTGCAGGCTACCTTACTATAAAATTTCTGCTTATATAATGATCTGTTTAATACAGTAATTTGACAAAAGATGAAAAATTTGAATGAAAAAAATGGCTAAGATATACCCTGATACAAAATTCATGATAAAATCTAATGGTCTTTATTCATAAGAGTTAGCAAAGTTTAGGACAGAATGGTTACCATTCTGTCCGAAACCCCTTTGCTCAAAACTGTCTTAAACTGTTCAAAACCTTTTTATTTTAATTATGCCATAATTAAAAAAAATAATAATGTTCTGTAAAGTTAACTTTTGAACAAGAAACAATTATGAAAACAAGTATTTGTTTTATTAAAAAGTATTTGTATTATTACAAGTATTTGTATTATTATTTTTAATATTGAATTATTTACCCTAATGCAAAAACATAATTTTACAGTATCAAAAGCATATTTATTAATTTTAAAGGTTAATGTATTCACTTTTGTTGTTCAATGAATTGAGGAGCTTTGGAAGTTATAAATCTTTTCCTGTTATATTATTTTCCTTTAATAAGTTAAAGCTAGTTGTATAAAAAGTATCGTATAAAAGTAATATTAAATAATATATGTAATTATTGAGTATACAATTGCTATACATATAGAATTTTTATCTTTTCCGAATGTTCAAGGTTTTGGACACTTTTAGGCAGTTTAGAACAGTTTTAGTCAGTTTAGGACAGTTTAAGGTGTCCAATACCCCAACCCTGTTCTTCAGGAATCACTGTACTCATAATATAAATCCTATAGAAGACATTCTGTACCTGGATAAACATATGGTCATTTTTTAAACGTTACCATTGTTTAGAGGTGGCTGTTAATGGAAGTTTTATTGTATGCATATATATATATTTGTTACAGAGTTCTCCCCGGGAAATAAAAAGGGTAGGGCGGTTCCTCTCAGAAAAGGGCAGTCATTTAACACCATAAAAATTTATCAAAATGTGTAATATTATGTAATAACTGAATTTTATCCTCAGCAATTTTAAAATTACTCTCATATATTATTTTATGTGCATATCTCAAAAAGTAATTCTCTCTTATTATCAAATTAAGAGAAAAATTTTTAGTTTTCAAAAAATAATTAAAAATATCCTAAAAAGCAATAATTGTGCACAATTTTTTCTTAAAAAAAGAATAAACTACACAGAAATGATTAATTGATAAAAAACTTGAAAACTTTTTTCTATAATTTAAACTGAAAATTATGAGAAAATGAACATTTAAAAGTTCATTTAGAAGAAAAAAAGATATTTATTTAAAGAATAATATTAAACTTTAGAATCACTTTAAAAATGCATCAATATCCCCTCTAAAAAAGAGATTTTTATGAAAATTTAACCAGTTGAGAATAATCGTAACAATGTAAATATTTCTAATACTAATAATAAGAATTAAAACTATAAACACAGATAATTTTATCAGTGTGTAATTATTTAAACAGTGAATTATTTTTTTTCAAAATGGAATTTGAAAAAGTAAGAGTGTACTTATTGGGATCAAAGGGCAAGTAGGGCTTGGCCGTCCTTTTACAAATGCTTAGGGGGAGCACTGATTTATTACCTATGCCTCTTTTGCTTTGGCAATTTATCATTTACAAAAAAATTATATAAAATGTCCCCAAAAGGATAAACAGTTGTGCAGATCTAGTGCAGTTTTTAATGTTTTTTTATATATTTTAAGTAATAGGGGAAAATAAGATGTTTATCTTAGATCAAAAATCTGTATAAAGTACTGAGTAATTTTTCAGTTCCACATTCTTCGTATTAAAAACCAGTAATGCATATTTATAGGTAAAGATGGCAGTAAAGTGACAACTGTTGTAGCAACTCCTGGACAAGGACCTGAAAGGCCACAAGAAATATCTTATACTGATACTAAGGTCATTGGAAATGGATCGTTTGGTGTTGTGTATCAAGCTCGTTTGTTTGAGACTGGGGAGCTTATAGCCATTAAAAAAGTCTTACAAGATAAACGTTTTAAGGTAATTTGTGGCTTATGCCCTTTTAATTTGATTTGTTAAAATAGTTTGTTGCTCAAGAAGAATAAATATAAAAACATGGATTGTTAGCATTTTTTATATTTGTTCATGAACTTGAAATGAGTGTCATAATTTTAAAATTATTCATTTTTAGCTGTTACATTGTGTCACCAAGAGCTATACTTGGTCACTGTCTTTTTCTATTATTTATATGATTATAAAAATCCTCGCTAAAAATTAATCATAAAACAAACTGTGCTATCTTTAAAATTTAGTATTTAATTTAATGCCATTTATTTAGTTTAAAAACTAAACTGCTCGATAATTTTCTGTACGATAACATTTACCTTGGTTATGACACATTTTTACCAAAATCTGAATCAATTAAAATTATTTCTGGTGAACTTTTTCTTATCTAAATTTTTTATTTTAAAATTATGAATGTTTACCATGTTTTTACTTTATTTCATTAATTAATTTGAAAATTCTTACAATATTCTTTGGTTCTTTCTTTCCCCTTCTTAAAAATAGATGAATATATATTGCACCAAAAATGTCTTAATTTTTTTTTTTGTGTGTGAAATGTTGCCACAATTTTTTACTTTGAGCCACTTTGAAGTCTATATAAGTCCACAATATGCAAAATTCCTAATTATTTTGGATACTTTAATATTGATTTGAAATCCACGATTGACAGTTGTCCACTATATCCAAATTCTTTGAAAAATTATTAGCATGTGACAATAGTATTTTTGGAAATAAGGATTATGATAGTTCATAATTTGTTAATATTGCTTAAATAAATATATATTAAAGTAGCCATTTAAAAAAAATTTCTGCTTATGAACAAAATTAGTATTTTTTGATTGGCCATGATTCAATTTTAAGTAGAGTTTTGTTATGACCATTAATCATTGAAGAAACAGCCCTAAAGTGCTGTGTGAGTTTTTATCATTTAATAATAATTTTCATTTCTCTTCTATTGTAATTTAGAATCGAGAACTTCAAATTATGAGACGACTCGACCACTGCAATATTGTCAAATTGAAGTATTTTTTTTATTCGAGTGGTGACAAGGTTAGTATTTACCTTCTACTATGTACTTTTTTCCTTTACTTTTTGAATGGCTCTTCTATTTTATTGTTTTCTCTTGTAGAAAGATGAGGTTTATTTGAACTTAGTTTTGGAATTTATCCCTGAAACAGTCTATAGAGCTGCTAGACAATACAGTAAATCAAAGCAGACTATACCTATTTCTTTCATTAAGGTATAATCACTTTTATTATTCTTTAAATTATTTTGCTTTTACTTAATTTTGTGAGAAGATACAATGTTTCATGTTTTTTCAGCTTTACATGTATCAGTTATTTCGAAGTCTAGCCTATATCCATTCACTGGGAATTTGTCATCGTGATATAAAACCTCAAAACTTATTACTAGATCCTGAAAGTGGTGTATTAAAATTGTGCGACTTTGGCAGGTAAAACTTTTGTTTTATATTGTGAACTGTTTTATTATTTACTTATTTGTTTATTATTAATTTTTAAAGATTGTGCTGTGATATTTTTCAAATATTCATAGTCTTTGCTAGTAATGATGAAATATTTCATAAAACTGATTTTGCAAATGTATAAATTACTAAATTTTTCAAAATTGGATCAGCCTTTTTTAAAAATCTTAATATTTTATTGAACCTATTTTAGTCTTACTAAATCAATGATTTTCTTATAGTTTTAAGTACTTTACCAGTTGATCTTTTTTAAAAAAATCTCCAATTTTTTTCTTTCATAATGAAAAAGGCAAGACAAGCACATTTGTAAAAGCACTGTTTTTTTTTAAATGAAAATAGTGATGCATTTGAATATTTTTGCATGCAGTAGAAATCTTCAAATTATTTTGGTAATTTAACTTAGCTTTTATCAAAATAAAAGCTAACAACTTTTATATTAATGATCAGATTTTTCATACTCTAAGATGACATTTTAAATTATGTTTGATATAAATTTGATATAATTAGCTACACACCCTTTTTCCTAATAGTCTGTTTCCTAAGTTTACATCAAATTGTTTCCAAATAGCTACTTTACAATTTCCAGATTTAATTAAAATCAATATAAGCACAACACAAAGAAATTGCCTGGAAGATTGTGATGCTTTTCCCAACAGTTTAAAGAAGTTGTAATATTATATTGCCCTAGTGCTTTATAATATTTATTGTTCATATATTTATATATAGCTTTATTTTAATGGTGGTCCATTTCAAAGAAAAATAAAGTTGGTCTCACTTTCATGATTCATGAAAGTTAAGATATATGCCATTTTTTTTAAAAAATGTTTTTCGGTATATTTTTATGCCAGTAATATAATAATTTCTTAGGAGGAAATTGCTGAAATATGTATATTTTTTTAAAATGCTTAAAAGGTGTTTGTATTGTAAAATGTTGCTAAATACCTTGAGTCTTGCTAAATACTTATTCTCTGAAGAAATGTTTTCTAAGAATATTTCCTGTTTTTATAGAAAGTTCTTGATCATAACTAGTGTTTTATGCTGTTGTTATTAAAATTTTTAATGTATTATTTTTTATTCTAGTGCTAAACATCTGATAAATGGAGAGCCAAATGTTTCCTACATTTGCTCACGGTACTATCGAGCTCCAGAACTCATATTTGGTGCAACTGATTATACTACAATGATAGGTACTAAACACACTTTTTTCATTAAGTAAAGGTCTTGAAAAGCCTTTAAAGCTTTTCATTGTGTTAGAAGTACTGAGAAGGTAGAAAGAAAAAAACATAACTGTATCTCTGTATTATGCTCGAAGACTTATTGAAAAATTTAGCATTTTGCTCATTGGTATCTCACTAACTGGTTTATCTCACGGCGCTATTGTATTTTTAAATATTGTTGCTAAAGAGAAAATTTGAAGGTTAGATATGTCAACTTAAGCATCTTTATTATTTAACTTTAACCTAGTAGTTTAAATTTTCACCTTTATTTTATAAACCTCACCTGCTTAAAAAAGATCATATTAGGCTCGAAAAACATTCAAAACATTTTTAAAAAATTGATTATATTGAAACAGGAATAATTGGCAATCCACACCATTATGAAGTATAAGTTCTTACCTGGAACAGACCACATAGAACATTATTGGTGTATTTAGCTCTAGTGTTTGGTTAGTTCAATGAATCACCTAAAGTCACTCCAAAGCTTAATATTGATAAAAATAAAAAGCTGATAGTGAGTGTTTGGCACTCCAGGGCAACGAAACCATTTCCTGGGGGTTCCAAGTGATATGACTTTTTTTAAAACTTTTTTTGATTCATAGCTACACATGCTTTTTTACGTACTTATACAATATGATTTACATACTTTTTTAATATGATTTTTTATTTGTAATGAGTTATGATTTATATCCAATCACTATTTAGTATTTCCATTATTTTTGAGAAATAATTCTAGAAAATATTAGTGAAAAAATACAATTTTAATACTTTTATTAATTTGTAGAGATAAAGACTCAATTTGTCAGATTCCTAATGTAGGAGAAATTAATGTAAATAAATAAATTTAAATTACACTTGGCAGACTTATTATCACCTGGAATTAATTACACTTGGAGACTGCATATTTAATAAGTTTTAAATATATTTTTGATTAATTTAAGTAAACATAAAACTAAATAGATTTAATTGAAAATGTATGTATTTTAAACTGGAAATTATTTTACATTCAGCTAATATTAAATTGTAATTTAAAGTTTTACACTATTATTTTTTCTTCTTACTCAAATATCGTTTTGAATCATTTCAACCTTGCTAGATTGGTCAAAGACAACCCCATGCCTGCAAAAAGACCGCACATGATGCCTTTTTGCTGTTGTGTAGAAGAAAACTTACTTTTTATAGAAGAAGTGTCTGATAAAATGTATTTGTCTCTTTTTGTTTTAAAAAAAATTATTTTTGTTTTCTCTTAATTTTATTTCCAAACACAAAAATCAACCTTCAGTGTTCTATATTAAAGGATTAGATAGCATTGTGATGTTTTTATTTCAAATGTAGATGTGTGGTCAGCTGGTTGCGTGCTTGCGGAATTACTTCTTGGGCAACCCATCTTTCCTGGTGATAGCGGGGTGGATCAACTTGTTGAAATAATCAAAGTTCTTGGCACACCTACTAAAGAGCAGATTAGAGAAATGAACAGAAATTACACAGAATTTCGTTTCCCTATGATTAAAGCTCATCCTTGGAGCAAGGTTTGTTTATTTAACCAGATTTTTATTTATTTTTTGTGCTTTCTAATCCAAATTTCTGAAGAGACTAAAACCATAAAAAATATAGCTTCTATTAGTGACATAGTCTATAACTTGTTCCAGTAGTACATGTTACATTTTTATACACTTTTTAATATAATTTTAAAATGACTTTATTTATTTTATATAAATATTTATAGGGTTCTGCATTTTTAAGTGTATATGATTTTAATTATTATATAATTAAGTCAAAAAAGTAATCTTTACAATGATAAAGGTTGCTGCTTTGATGAAGATTCACAGTATAAATGTAGCATTTGTTTTGTATAAATTATTAAAAAAGAAAAAAATATATTTATCAATTTATTAATATGCTCTAGGTGTTTCGTGCTAGAACACCCCCAGAAGCTGTTGATCTAGTGTCTAAGCTTTTAGAATATACTCCATCTGTTCGATGTACTCCTCTACAAGCCTGTGCACACCCTTTCTTTGATGAATTAAGAGAACCTGGTACACGATTGCCCAACTCTCGAGAGTTGCCTCCTCTTTTCAATTTTACTGAGCATGGTGAGCTTTGTTTATTTATTTTTAAATTTAAATTCTAAGCATTAGTATAAGTTTTTCAACTGCTCAATTTTAAAGATTTTTTTTCCTTCTCCTTCATAAACTAAAACTCTGTAACTTTAAAACAAATCCTGTAACTTTCTGTAGTGAATCAAATGCCTATTACTATTCTAAGCTATAAGTTTAAAAGTGTAATGAACATAATAAAGACATTTTGCATTCAAGTTCATTTAATTTCAATCATTAATGGTAAATATTGCAGTGAATAATTTAAAATCAGTTATTAGTGTGATGGTGTAATTTTATATTTTTTTGACTATAATCCCCAGAACTCTTAGTATTTAGAATACAGTAGTATCTCAAGAAAAGGTCAACTCCATTGAACTTTGGTTTCTTTCAAGGGGAGGCTTAATGTGTTTACTCAGTAAAGGGTGAGCAAAATATTAATTGAAATAACCTGTGTTAGTATATTATCCCTCTCTTGAATATTGCTGCTACAGGGAGATAAAGAACAGCCTTTTAAAAAAACAGTTGGAAACATGTCGAAAAAAGCAAAGAATTTTCGGGGTATTGGAATAAAAGGAGTACAAATATCAACGGCAAAGAGAAACTAGATTATTCTGAAACAGTAATGGATTGCTGATTTAAAAGAATAATCCAAGATGAGCCAATCATATGGACTCTTTCTTGGGCTGTGAGGGTCTGCCAAGAAGTGTAATTTTGCACTCAAATATTATTTTTACATGTTATCTGTCATGGGGAGAAATGAACATTAAAATAAAAGATTAATATGATGACTAGATTAGTTGACTAGTTTTTATTTTACTCTCTAAATACAGGACATCCCTTTTTAAGGGACAACTTTTCTGGTTCCCTTCTGTATTTAGTATGTTATGCAATAGTTATGAAATTTATATTATTTTATGAAATTTAATGGATTTTTTAAATTTTAATAAATTTCAATTATATGAGAGGCATATTCATTTTTGCAAAAATATTACCAATGAATTGAATTTGTGTAAATTAACTCTCTAAATAACTGTTTCATTCCAGAGTTAAAGATTCAGCCATCTTTAAATTCCATCCTGATTCCTCTGCACATACGCAACAGTAGTCAAAATAATACGATTGGAACAAACAACCCTATTTCGGATGCCAGTTCTGGTGGGATGTCACATTTAGCCGCAGATTCTTCAATTAGCAATTCACTATCAGCTTCTGGTAGCAGTGCCACCCAGATAGGGGCTTCGACTTCCACTGCAACTGCATGACATTTTTAATATTTTCAGAAGGGGGCAGGCAGCTAAGCCTTATTTTCGATTATTGTGGGCTATAGCCATTCTGTTGTAAAAACCAAAACCGGAGACCAAATCTCCCCCTGTAGATTGGTTTTGACAAGGAGATCTGTCTCGAATAACACTCAGTACAGTGTTGCGGTACCTGAGCTAGGTTGTAAATAAATTCGAACTTATAAATGTTTTGTTAAATAATGGGATGCAACCAATGAAAACTTTCAACCAAAATTTAAGTTTCTTTGGTTATCTCATGTTTTAGAAGTTGATTTTTTTTTATTACTATTGTTGCAAAATATTGCATTAAAGTTATTTTTGATTCTGTTACAAAATTATTTTTAATGTTTACTCAATTATGTTGTGTATCAAGAGTTGATCTTACAATTGTATTTTAAAATTTGGGTTATCAGTGAAATTTTATCGGTTTTTAATGAATTTAAATTTATGTATTCAATATTTTTGTGTACAGCTTTTTCATATCTATGTAATACAATTTTTTTTACCAATCATTTTTATTAAATTTGTGTATATAAAATTTATTATTTATGTTTTGTTTAGAAACAACCTTTCGCAAATAGATCAAATACAGAAACCTTAATCAAAAAAATTGCTGAGGCGCCCTATTCGTTTTGGTGCTTTTTTTTCTTCTTTCATAACCAAAGTGTTATTAGTAACAATATCATCGAATTAAATATTCATATGTATATGGTTTATTTATTGATCATACGTTTACTGAATTTTGCATATTTATATAACTGATTATGGAAAATGTTACTTATGTTTTTAAAGGATTTAGTGCACAGTGCTTAATTAATGAAGATGCTCTATGACTAAGGTTTCTGCGTGTTTTCTATCTTCTCTTTTAGTGATAAAAAAATTAGGTGGAACTTCCAAAATTTTAACTCTTTCTCTCTCTCTATATATATATCTATCTTTTTCTCTCTCTGGGCGATAATCATAATTCATTACAAAATTGTGCAAAATAAAAAAAATCTCTTAACACTATTTCTGAAACACTTGTCATATTTTTAGCTTTTGAGAAGCTTTGTTTTAGGCAGCCTGCTCTTTGCATTGAAAGTGTGAATAAACTACAAATAAAATTATTTCTGGCTGATTCAGCTAGCAATTGTACAGTATGAAAATAAATATATAATGTTTTATGCAATTTCATGTTCAAAAAGGAAGAAAGAAAAAACATTTAGACTGATATTTATTCTGGGATGCCAACTTCTAGATTTTTGTTTCTAATTATGATATATATATATTTTTAATCCTTTTTTGTGGATTAGAGACAAAACTATCTTAAATACATGACCATACATATTTTTGTTTATAAAATTCATAGCAAATTTTCAAATACTTCCATATGCTCTTAATTTTTATGGAAATGAATAGTTATTATTGTTACTTGCATTAGCTTGATGTTGCATTTCTGTGTAATTATTATTAGGGGGGGGGGCATTGATGCAAGTTGGCATCCCTGTTAATTTTTCAGGTCTGCTTCTGAAAATATATTGTATATCCCTGTGATTGGATGACAGTTTTATACTGTACAGTGTATTTAAATGTGATGTTTGAATTATAGAATAGAGTGCCTCTTTATTTATACTTAATATATTGGCTTCAAAATTATAAAGCTTTAATTTTTGTGTGTGTGAATGAAGTGATTTCATTGAATTTATGTCTTGTTTTTCTTTCTGATATAACTAATAATTTTTTTTAAAAAAAAGTATTGTCTATATACCGCATCATTTATTAATGGCTATTTGTGCACTTGATTTTGAACAATTTGCATATTTTAGTATTTATTGTTAGATAGATAATTGTGTATAAATCCTTGTCCGTTCCAAACACGGGCATTTATGTTTTTCATAAAATTTCATGATCTTGGCTTTTTCCTACATTAAGCTTGCAATGCTTCTTGCACCCTCTACAGAATCATACAGTTTATTTGGAATATTATTTTGAAGTATCGAAACTGCTCTAAATCTGTTTATATGTATCTATTATTCAGCTTAAAGTATTAATTTGCTTTTTTGTCCTCTCCCAGCCAAATTTATGAATTTTGAGAACCTCATTTAACCAGCAACACTAATGCTTGTATGTTTCTTTTTTTTTTTAATAAAAAAACAAACAAAGCAAATGCTTTCATTACTTTTTTAAGATGATAAAAAAAGGAGTGTTCTAGCAAATTTAGCTTAGTAATACTCTTTCTTGCCAGTATAAGTGAAGATATGAATTCTATTTATGATGCAAAATCAATTTGTATAAATAACTAGTGTATGTATATTTATTGCTGTAGTCATAATGTTTATACTGGTGTATAATGAAAACTGTGCATTTCTTAGTGTTGTTGACTATAGAATACCATAAAAAGCTATGTTCTTTAGCAGCTCAAGAAAGCCCACTCATCGCATGAAAGAATATGAATATGGCAACTGACCGAGCACCGTCTGTTTTCCGTGTTGTGAAATTCTGATGCATGTAAATTACAAGAGGCATTTTTAATGGATAAATTGTAATTATTTTGATTTTTTTCGCACTTCATACATAATATTAATGAACATAAACAGGACCATGTTCTCGTGCATTGATGCACTATGTTTCCCTTTGTATATTGCTTACTGTTAGGTAATTTAGATGTAGAAAAAAAATAATAAAATAAAATTATTACACGTCGCGATTGTGTGGGATTATTTATTGTTAGCTTTGGCATATTTGTACTATAATTTCAGGTTGTAATTATGTAATAATTGTAATAATTTCACATCGTAAAAATATTTTTAAGGCAGTTTTCATGTGGTAACATGATAGTCATGCCCCTGGAAAAGTGTTATTTTTTATATCAAAGTTATTATTATAAATCCAAAGGTAATGACTGTGAGTTGAAAAAAACATTTCCAGGTGTCGAATTGGTTATTCTGAATATTTAATCTCAGCTTCTTTGACTTTTAATTAAATCAATGTGATGTCCTTTCTTGGTAGTTTTCAGGCTTAGGAACAATAAATATTTTGGTAGATTCTAGAGAACTGTTACATTTGAATTAGCTCCAAAGGGAGAGTTTTTTAGCATTTAACTTACTTTTATCTATGACTGATATTTTAAAATACTAGGTATGTCTGATAGGCAATTTGAACAGAGAAACAAATAAATCATTGTAAACTTCACAAAAGTTCTCAGCAGCGAGCTGTTAAGTGTCACTCTCCCTTGTACAGTAAATTTTTAATATGTTGCTTTACTTAGCATGTCTAATTTAAAGTTAGGCTGTAAGATGAGAAAAATAATTTATACCAATGAAGTATAGGAGAAAAATTGAGATAGCCTTTTAGTCCTAACATCTCAAACCTGGTCCCATATAATTTGACTTAAATAGTGTAAAAAAAATACTAAAAAAATATTTGTCCAGTTTCCTATGCATTCTAGTCTTAATAATTTTTGTTTTTGAAAATTTATAACCTTTTAACTAATAGTCCTATCGATCTTCAATGAACTGAGCCTTGCTTTTAAAAACAATCAAAATTCTGCGAAATTAGGCAATTACGGTAGAACCTCCATCGATTGTTTCTCTGATCATTCGTTACAAATGATAGATACAGGAAAATGATAAATGTGGGGAGTAATGAATAGAAAACGCAAAAAATTAACAACAAGTATAAAAAATTTGGGTTACAAAGATTATGCACGTCCTAAAAAAATATTTAGGTTTTAAAAGAAAGATAAATAAATATATTTAAAGTGCTTGGAAATTTTGGCCCTCTTCTCAGCGCAGACCATAAATGTTTGGCATTTGTTGCACACAGCTGTTCCTTTTCAAAAAATTACTCATTTATTTAAAGACCCTGCAGCCTTCTGCAAATCTTTGCTCTAATTGGTTGCTAGAAGTTTGGTCTTCATTGGTATCACTTTGAATTTCTTAAGTTTCTTGAACCGATAACAAATTTCAAAATTTTTAGGAACTGATGCATAAACATCAAACCTGTTTGACCCAAATTGTAACAAATCCACATTTTTTTTAATATTAGCATCAGGAGTTACTGCTTGTCTATGCAAAACAAATTAACCTCAATTTTCTTAAAAAAATTCTGTGCGATAGTTGTAAGCTCCTAGTTTTGAAAACGATCTAAACGAAAATTATTAACTTAAGAATAGCATTGTGTTAAGACAAAATAATACAACGCAGGAAATCGTAGGATGCGGGAACGATGAATCAAGGTTCGACTGCACTGCCTAAACCTTATAATATCCAAATAATATTCAAAGTTGTAAATTCTAAAGTACAATAGGCATAATAAAAAAATTTCTTTACCTAAGTTCATTTAATGTCGTAAATGGAAAATATTACGGTCAATGTAAATCTATGGTTATTAGTTTATTAGAGCACATCACCCGATTATTCGGGTGATTGTGCTCCAGATTTTTTGCTAACCGCAATCCGAATTTCCAGAAACCCGGAAGAATCAAAAAATCATCACTCGCCTTTATATATAAAGATTTTTGTATATTTTATTTAAAAATATTAGAACTAGAATTTATACTTGGCATCTCTTTCGTTTGTAAATATTTTTTCTGGTAGAATAATACATGTGATTAGAGATGAAAGTAAATTTACATTATGCTGCATAATATTCATTTAAATTATGCTGCATATAATTCATTTAGAGCAGTGTTTCCCAACCTTTTTTGTACCATGCCCCACCTAAGCCTTTCTAAAATTCTTATTGCCCCCTATGTAACATATACATAATTTTTAATATATTAAAAAAATCAAATTGTTCACTTAAGAAACTTAGGAAATTGTTAGCGAAGCAAAGTAAGTAAATTTTCAGAACATATAATGAAGAACTAAAATTCAAATTCGAAATAAATTTAATAAATATTTTTCTATAATATTTTAATTAAGTGAGATTCTTGCCCTTGATGCTTGCTGCACATAGATTTTTACTTAGATTCCAATTTGGTTAGCCTCAGTCTCAAGTCTCCCCGTTGTGTTATATCTAGACGATTTTTTTTTATCAATAAAATCATTTACAGCACTAAATCCACATTCAGCTAAATATGAAGATGGAATCGGTAACAATAGTTTTCTTGCACCTTTGATTGAATTTGGGTATTTGTTTTCTGTTTCCTCACGAAGCCATGCCATCACTCCTTTCATATTAAATAAGGTTTTAACTGGCTCATCATTTTGCATTTCTGCAAGTTCTTCTTGATATATTTGATATATCAGACAAATCCACTAACATGGACTGCAACATCCATGTTGGAAAATAAATTTGTTTTAAATCAGAATATCTTTCTTTTAAATCAGCCGATAGAATTTTCAGATGATAGACAATA